GAATCAGAGCCAAGATACCCCAGCGAGCAGCTCTCCGTCACGGAGCGGGGACGGAGCTTGTTCCAGAAGGATGTCAGGAAGGTCAGGCGCTTCCTGACGAACTGCTCCATGCCCGGCGGTGCGCTGGATGCGGTGGGCTATGCCCACCGGGAGGCCGGGGCGCGGGGCGATGCGGGGCTGCTGCCGCCGGCCGGGGAGCTCATCCTGCCCGCCCGCGTTACCCGCACGCGTCTGGGCGCTCGCCGGCCCTTCCCGGCCAACTTCCTATTTCTGAAAGTGAAACTGGTTCGTCTGGTGCGACGAGTCTGCCGGCGGGACGAGTCTGCAGGCAGGAGTCCCACGCTCAGACCCACGGGCACATCTGGGAGACAGGCACAGCTGGAGCCGGGCTTGCTGCTCTCGAAGAAGAAGAACGGCTGTTGTTTTATTTAATCATTATTTTTAAGTGTGCTCTTTGCTTCTTACCAGAGCACCATAAACACAGCTCTCTGTTCTTCGAGCAGCTCTTGTCACAAGTGGCTGACTCCAGCTAATAGTCTTCATCTCACTTGTGTGGGAGGATATTTTTTTTTTCCATAGGACAATAATTGCATCCACAAATGTGGGAGATTAAAACAGAATTAAGGACATAACCTTAGAAAAGATCCGAAGTGTTTGAATGTTTCCTGGCTGGATATTGGGGGGTTTATAAGCCCCAAGGTCCTTTCTTCCTTCAGTCTACAATGACCTCCCAGAGTGACCCCACTAAAGCATTTGCCTCCTCACACTAATTCCCTGTTGCAGAGGATTCCCAGGGAATTCACATCCCAGACCCCCCAGGATCTGGTGCTCACTCAGCTTCCACCAGAGATGGGTCCCCCTCAGAATCAGGAGATCTTTTCCTGATGCAGTGTCTCAGTCAGCCTCAGGTGCTTGCAATGCATCCACAGCCAAGCCCTGGAATGCAACCTTCAGCTCTCACAGTGTCAGCACAGCCACACTTCCCCAGCCCTGGTCACACTTGGACACTCCAAAATGCTCCAAACCCCCTCCCAAATCCCACCACCCACAGCCATCACCCAAAAGACAGAGATTACCCCCTCATATCTTTCATGTGCACTTTAGGTCACCTGAAGATTGCTCTGGTGAGAAATCCCAACTCCAACCCCCCAGCCCCCACCTAAACTTTGTCATTTAACTGTTCCATCTAATTAGTGGGAGTTTTGTGCCTGGCAACCCCACTCCTGGCCTTGAGCCCATTATTTTGATTCGCCTCTGCTTGCAGTTGGTCTGTGTAGCTTGTTTTGGGTATGTAGTTGGGATTTGAAAGAGGCTACTTTAAAAGAAATATGAAAAAATTAATTGTAGGAGTCTGGGCTGCCAACTGCAACCATGTGGGGTATGAGGAACAAGCTGGACCCACCCTTGGGTCAACAGCGCTTGACATGCTGTGTTCTGCATTCTGGGTGTCCCATGATGGCCAAAAAAAAATTGCAAAATGATTTCCTTGTCTGGGTTTTGGACTCAGCAATTTCCTCACCCTCTCCAGGCAGAGATGCCCAGGGCAGAGGGCAGGAGTACAGAGCGCTCCTCAGCGTGGCCTGTGCATTCCTGAACTGATGAGAACTGGCAAGAAAGGGAGTCTTTAATAAAATATTCTGCTCCCTTCTTACCCAAGTAGCAGCTGAATAGATGGGTGAGTCCCCCAAGGTCAGCTCACAGCCTTGCCCCCAGTGCCACACAGGGATGTGCAAATTCTCTGTGCATTTTCCCCACTGTGTAATGTCTCTGTGCATTTTCCCCACTGTGTAATGTCTCTGTGCATTTTTCTCACTCCAGCATGAGGAGGGGAACTGAGGATGGAGCACAGAAGGGTTTGCAGACCCAAGGGAAGGGACACCCCCTCTGCTGCCCTTCTGCAGCCCTTGTGACAAGTGTGCTCCTCATGTCACACTCCATCAGGAGCAAAAGGGGCTGCCTGGTTATGCCCTGAAAAAAAATCTGATCAGATGCAGCACAGAGAGCTTGTGCCTCACTGCTTTAAATGAGGTCTCACTGAACTTCTGGTGTGCAAAAGGAGACTGAACTGATTTACCTTTATTGACCTTTGCCAGATTAGATCCTGCAGTGGTACCAGCGATAGACGAGTGCAGCTGATTTCTAACACACAAGGCTTTGGATCTTGATTTGCACCTAAATGAAAGAGTAGTTTCAAATGACGAACATCCCTGAGGACTAAATACTGCCTCTGAGCTGAGCCACCAGACATGCAGAGCACACACTCATCCCTGCAAACCTCTGTCTGCACAGGACACACACGCACAGCTCAGCCCCATGCCAGGAAAGAGATGATAAATCACAACCTTTTTCTAGTATCTTTTTTTTATTATTATTTTCCTATTCAGTTCCACGAGCATCCCTGCTGCTTTGAATCCCTTTTAGTACTATAAAACACCTAAAAAAAAATAAAGAAGAAAAAGCATGTTCATAGAAGTTTCTGGTCCTTGTGCTGTGGGAAAGAAAGTGGGAGGATGCAGTAAAAGTGATAAAGATAATGAAGGCACAGATATCTGATGGATCAAGTATTTCCTCTTCAGTCCCCATGACCAGCTTACAAAGATATATTAAAAACCAATCTGTCCACAGATTTGGGGTTGTGGTGGGCACACAGGGACTTCAGTTCTAGCACCACTGAGGAGCACCTCCAAAGAGCACCCAAACCAGCAGAGCTGCCTGCACAGCCCTGGTTTGGCTGCAGAGCACCAGGGAGCCACAAACACAAACAGCATTTTGCATCCACCCAAAACCCACAGCGTGGCCTCCCAGCCTAATTGACAGAAACCAGCAGCTCCCCTCCACTAATGAGAGCACCCATTACACCTAATTAGCTGAGGTTCTGTTCCAGGTCCTGTAACGTTTACACTCAAAATACATCTTCCAGCAAAGAGCCTTCTTGGAGGGAAAAAAGGAAGAGGAGCATAATTCCAATTAAGCCCCTAAATGAGAAGAAAGTTGGAGAATGGAGGTCATGCTGAGGAAAATGGCTTTGAGGAATGGCAGGTGACTCTGAGGCCATGGGATGTGCCACTTGTCACCAATGGCTGGCACAGCCCAGCTGGAGATCCAGGGTGGCCATGCTGTACCTGGCACCCCAGCCCTGAGGTGCCTCTTGGTCTTTTTGAAGGCATCAGAAGATGGCTGGGGTTTCTTCTGGGCCTCCTGTTTCTTTGTCTTTTATTTTTCAGTGATTTCTCCAGGTGTTTCCTGGTGCCACAGTGCACTTGAGGAAGGTTTAGCCTCTTAATGAATTGTTTTGGATGGGTGTCCAAGGGACAGTTCACACCAGGGCTGGTGGGTGATGACAGCAGTGCATGGGAAGAGGAGCAGAGTAGAACAGGGGCATCGAAGCAGCTTCAATTTGTCTCTACTTCCTGGGGGCTGTGGAAGAAAGAGGCACCTTGGCAGACTCTGGGCTGTCCCCATCGAGGGCAGAGCCCATCCCTGGGAGGCTGACAAGGGCAGGAGTGGTCCAGGGGCTGGGGGGCTCATAGACAGTCAGTGCAGAGGGTTCAATACAGGCAAAAGTACAGTGGTCCTGGGACAGGGAGTGGTGCAGGAGGGGTGAGAGCAGGCACAGCACCAGGGGGTCTCATGGTGGCTCTCTGAGCCCTGTAGGGGTGGGTTGGACTGGCTGGTGGAGAGCAGGAGTGCAGGTCACAGGGCACCTGAAATGGCACAAGAAAGCAGAAAAGCTCTGTAAGAGCAGCTGGAGGCAGAGTGAGCTGTTTGTACCTGGCAGGTCTGGGGCAGGAAAACCTTTAAACCCACAGTAATACTTTTCAGGGACCCTGTAAAGCCAGGCCTCATCAAGGATCTGAAACAATGGCAAGGAAAGCCAATTCATGTATCACCCTGCACTCTGTCACATTCTGAAGCAGAGTCACTGTTTGAGTGGAAAATCTGTAAAGACCAAAATACCAAATCCTGCTGATAAACAGCCTGGCCAGCCTCCAGGCCTTCCCTTTGTGCTTTTTCCTGTGTTTATCAGCACAGACCAGCCTTTGCTTGCCCCATCCTTTAGTCTAACTTCCAGAGAATGAATGCTCCTCCTAGTACTGGCTGCCTGGCAGAACTGCACTCCTCTGCTCCTGTCCCTGAAGGAATCATTTGCAGCACATAAAACCCATTCACCACCTTCTCCAGATTGGCAGGTGCCAGGGAGCTGTTCAGCCTCTCTGTCAAGGCTGCAGGGATCTCCATGGGAAGCAGGAGAAGGGAGCTCAGGCTGTGTTCCCCGTGCCCATGAGCACCTGGACTGGAGTCCTGGCCAGGACTGTGTCACCACTGAGAAGCAGTGGGAGTCCCCAGGCTGGCAGGGGCTGGCAGGGGCTTTACACAGGCACCTCACAGCTGTGCTGCCCTGGTTTGGGCTCAACAAACAGAGGACTGGTGCGTTCAGGAGTGAGGAGCACGGTGACTCAGATGGGCAGGGGGAAATCTCTGCCAGTTTGTAAGCAAATGATGGATTGCTCCATCTGCCCAGATGTCCTTGTTCCCCAGGGGAGGAACCAGTCCATCCACTCCATCACTGAGCTTTGTGATATCCCTCCCCACAAAGGTCCTTCCAAGGCTCTTGGATTTGGGGTTATGACATTAAATGTTGTTAGAATAAACCTACCCAGAGTCCCAGGAGAATAAGCCCAGGAGACCTCACCCAAACCACCTGGTCCATCCTATACTTATGTCTTTCCCCATCTTTGCCAAACCAGTTCCTAAAGGACCTCCAGGAATGGATACGCCACCACGTCCCCAGACAGCCCATTCCAGTGAGTCACTAATCACTGCCAGCAGAAACAAGTGTCTAACCTGCTGCATTTAAGGCTATTACCTCATGTCCCATTCATCACCTCATTGCTCCATCCTCCCTGCATGGGAACACTGCTGAGGTGTCCCCCCACACTGAGCCTGTGGGGCCCCAGCCCAGAACAAACACACTGACCTTACACAAGGAGGCAACATGGTCATCTTCTTCTCCATTTGTCCCCAATCTTCTTGCCCTGTCCACGTGAGCTGGTGCTCCTGTGGTGCCACCTCAGCTGACTCTCTAGTGCATTCACCTGAGGGGGAGAAAACAGCAGCTCTGAGGGGAGTCTGCACCACTGCACAGATAATCTTTAACCTGCCCCAAATGCAAGGATTCTTCACCACTGCACAGATAATCTTTAACCTGCCCCAAATGCAAGGATTCTTCACCACTGCACAGATAATCTTTAACCTGCCCCAAATGCAAGGAGTCTGCACCACTGCACAGGTAATCTTTGATCTGCCCCAAATACAAGAAGAAAATGCTGGCTCAAGTTTTCTTTGCTGAGGTTCATGACTCCATGAAAGACAAACATTGGGGCACCAAGTTTTACCTGTTTCCGTAGGGAAGTGACTGTCTTCTCCAGTCCAGCCACAAGGGACTCAAGATTCTCTCTGGAGGAAGAGCTTGGAGAAGCTGCCTCGTCTCTGGGGTCAGGGATAAAAAGTGAAAGGGGTTATGCAAACTGCAGCTTCCTGAGTGAGGGAATCATTTTGCCTTCTCCAACATCAGCCTCCAAGTGAGCATCAAAGGGAAGGGCCCAACTGCCGAAGAGCCCCTCAGCTCTTTGCACATCAGAGCTGGGCTCTGCACTCAAGTGTGGAGGACTGGCTGAGCTCAGCACCTCTCTACGGATCCACCCCTGACCCCAGATCTCTGCAAAGCACCAGATTCACAGACCTGAATGGACTGAGTTATTGAAACTTCCGTTCCATAAACTGGAGGTAGAAGGGGTGATACTGCACCTGGGCAAGGCAGGCTTGTGCTTTGCAGGGTTTTCCTCTGGGTAGCTGAAGCCAGGAGACCTCTTGCTTCGGAACCGCTGCGAAAGAGCCCTGAATTGCCCTCGTGTCCCGCAGTCTTGGGAAGGAAGGGAAAGTCTGCAGTGAGCACTGCTGTTTGAATCAGGACTGTGTGAGCTGCTGCAGCACAAGGCAGTGCTGCCCTCCTGCACCATCCACCCTGGACACATCTCTTGGGCCAGAGGGAAGGAGGCAACCAAGGTGTGGAAAAGGGTGTGCACCACTTGTGGATTACCATCTCTCAAATGGACATCTGAACCAGAATGCAGCCCAAGGGGACCATGGCAGGACCTGAGGTTTAGTGGCAGAGATTTAGGCTCCCAAATGAATCTGTGAAGTGACACATGGTGGGAATCATGTCCTGTTTCAGTCTCTTCCTCAGCCAGAGACCAAAGCCCTCAGTGAGGTGGGCTTTCAGACAGATTAAATGAAGCTAACAGAGTTAATAGGCTTCCCAGAGAGGTGGCCAATATCCCAAACCTCTCGGGGTTTAGAAGAAGCATTTGGATATAATAATAATTAGGACATAATTAATAATTTGCTTTAACTTTTGATCAGCCCTGAATTGGTCAGGAGACTGGACAGGAGGATTGCTGCAGGTCCTTTACAGCTGAAATATTCTATTCTATTCTATTCTATTCTATTCTATTCTATTCTATTCTATTCTATTCTATTCTATTCTATTCCATTCCATTCCATTCCATTCCATTCCTTTCCATTCCTATATTCAGTTCTCTTTGCACCCATTTGCTGACACAGGGGTCTCATGGTACAGCCAGAAATCAGCTACAATTCCATAAAAGCTGCTGTGGCACGTGACAAATGCCACCCAGAGTGACACCCACACCAGTGGGTGTCAGAGCATCCTCTCCTTACCCTCACAACAGTCCTGCCACAGGCGGAGGTCCACGGCAGGGATCTCCTCACAGCTGACCATGCCCTGCAGGTAAGATGCCACCTGGAACACGTCCCTCTGCAGCTGCTGGATGTGGTCACTGTTGTCACAGATGACACGAGCCAGGGACGCCTGTCTGATCTGAGTCAGCTGCGCTGGTGTGAACACTCCGGGGTTCTCATACCAAAATCTGCAGTGGGGTGTAATCACAGCATGACTCAGGAGTGGGGGAGGAGGGAGGAGTGAGTGAGTGAGTGAGTGAGTGAGTGAGTGAGTGAGTGAGTGAGGCTGGGAAAGGAAGATGAGCTCCCTGACATCTGTGTGGCAGCACCCACACGCCTCAAAATGAGCGTCTGCTCTGGTGTCAGGTGGCTGCAAACACAGATGGCTTTTTCTGAACCCACAAACCCCCGTGCTCCTGCCCTAAGTGCATCACCAGGCAAAGGTGTCTCGTTCACACAAGCAGCAAACAGGGATTAAAAAGAAGCTCCTGTGGACACTTTCTAGGATTTTCATGAGATACTGGGAACATCCTCAATGATTCCCAGTGTTCTGCAGTGAAATGAGAATCATTAAATCAAGAAAGGACATCTTGATGGTAACTGTGACAAGTGTTCTTGCAAATACACTGGACAGAGAAGACTGTTCCTCATATCATAAGACAATAAATAAGAAAAAAAATCATATTCTGCTTCTTCCTGTAAGGCAAAAAACCTCCCAAAGAGAATACCAAAGGATTTGGGATGATTCCGATGGCAATACCTGTCTCCATCCCTCAGCCTTCTGAACTGAGTCGTTAACAGGCACATCAGCGTTGGTCCCACTCTGGTCCCAGGGACAAGATCCTCCACCATAAGTGCTGGAAACAGGTCAATATTTTTGGTAGTTCCATATAAACTGGAGGATAACAGATATTAAAAAAAAAAAAAAGTTAAAAGGCTCTCAAAGAGTGGTGATAATATAAATCTGATACCAACATAGAAATTTGTATGTCAGGAACTCATCTGGACAATTTTTTTAATGGTTTTATCTAAAAGACAATAGGATAAAGACCTGCCTTGGAAGAGGCAGACAGGGCAGATAGGACGCAGTTTAATCTGACTGGAAAATAGCTCCAAGGCTCAATCTGCTCCCAAACTACACCACAGCAGTGCCTGACAACATTCCACCCAAAACCAGACTGATCACTTGGAGAAACTTCATTTGTCTAACGTCATTGTTAAACCACAGTTATTACCCTATCTTAACATCTGTGGGGGGCAATATGTGGGAAGGTTAATTAATGGGTGTACTGGAAGAAGCAAGAACTTTTCACTGACTGGTCTCCAGTAATTCTGATCCTTCCACATCCAGGCTACAGTACCTCCTGAGCTTTTCTCTGATCTCCAAGTTCTTTATCTCATTTCGGAGGTCCTCAAACTCCTGCGCTGAGGAGAGGTTGCAGAAGACCCTGAAGTCGTTGTAGGGTGGGATGCCATGGTCTCGCCCTCTCTGAATGTTGATAGCAGCCAAGTCCAGTGACACAGAGTGTGCCATGGAGAAGAGTTTCTCTGTCAGCTCCATGTTGAGGAGTTCAGAGGGCACCCGCATTTTCCCAGGAACCCCAAACAGCCCCCGGAGGAGGGGGTCGATCCCCCCTTCCTGCATGATCCTGAAAGGGGAGAAGAAGGCCTTGTGCAGGGGGATGTGGCCTTGTGGGATGGGCTGGAAGGTCTCGTTCAGACGGTACAGGATGGGGTTGATCAAGGTGTGCCCAAAGCGGAATGCGGCCGTGGCAAAGGCGTTGAGAATCCCCGCGTTGACGTTGGGGTTGTAGCCTTTGTACTCACCCAGCATCTTCATCCCAGCCTCCCCGAGGACCTTGGGCAGCCACTGGGCATAGGTGATGTGCTGCATCTGGGCACCTACAATCTTCCTCGCCTCGTGGTACAGGAGGTCCCCATCCCAGTGCGGGTTGAGGGCGGCCAGCTCGGCGGCAACGCGGTTGTGCTCCCTGAACCACAGCGTGTGCATGGCCGTGAGCCCCAGCTGCTCGTTGGCACGGTGGTCTCCTGCCAGGAAGCACGGCACGGGGCTCTCATTCTCATCCCTCATGCACTCCGTGGGTGGCCCCACAGCAAAGGGAAGGAGGTGCTTCCCCGAGCTGGGCACAACTTGCCCTCTCTTCAGGAGCCCTTTCTGGCTGCTCAGATCCCGCAGCTCCCGCGATTCCTGCTCCGTGCTGCCGTAAACGTTGGAGGCGTCAATGTAGGATGTCAGGTGGTTGATTTGCTCCCTGGCATAGACAGAGTTCATCAGCAGGGAGGTCATGCCGCTGCCACACACGGGGCTTGAGCGCACAAAGAACATGCAGCGCCCGTTCCGCACGCGGGGGTCGTTGGCAGGGACAGCGATGGAGAAACAGGGAGGGTCGTTGGTGCACACCTCGCTGCAAGGGGCTCCGTCTGAGAAACGGGACATGCTGATGGCTGCCACCGTCTGGTCCATGTCATGGTCCAGGAACTGGCCCCACTGCATGAGCATGTGCGTGAACTGGTCATCGGGGGTGATGGTCTCGGTCCCGATCATGGCAGTGGAGACAAGGCGAGGTAGAGGAAGGGGCAGATCCCTGGCATCTTCTGCCAAGGAAAACCCTCGGGGCAGGTTAAATCCATTCTGGTAGGCAGGTTTGAGGAGCCTCTGGAAGGCTGTGAGGGACGCACCCCACATGGGGTGCTGGAGGTTGTTACAGGAGCCGTCGTGGGTCCTGTACTTCTTGTGGAAGCAGATGTCGGAGCAGTTGGGCGTGCGGCGGTGCGCGGAGCAGCCCGACAGGTTGGCGATCATGGTCAGGTAGTGAGGGGACACCAGGTCATTGTAGCGATAGCCTGCAGAGGGAAGGGCAGAGCACCAGGTCAGGCATCACCTGCAGCCTCCTGATTCCCACTGTGCCACGGAACAGCTCTGTGTGAAAACCCCTGGCGGGATGGGCATGAGGATGGCCGGGTCTCTGAGCGTGGTGTTGCTGTGGAATTTATGGGAGGCAAAAGAAGCACAGGATCATATCTGACCCACAAAGCAAAAATGAAAGGGAAAAGAGTTTAACTGCACAGAGCTGGAAACCAGAAATGTTGTGACTGGCAGAGCCAACTGTGGGGGTGGTCTTGGTCCCTATTCTAGGTTTATTTTATGGCTCCCTGGGTTATTGCTGCCACCACGAGCTCTGTCACCCACCCAAGCTCTACGTGACGAGCAGCAGGAAGCCGTGGGTGACTGCCAGGGCACTGCTGGGCCGTGTGAAAGCGCTGAATGATGCTGCATTGTGTGGATGCTGACAGGGCAATGAGGAGGAGAGGCTGGCAGTCCAACCAGCCCAGACCAGACCTGCCGCCTGGAGAGGCATTCCTCGCACCCTGGAATACATCCAGGCAGGAAAAAATATTTACAGGCCCCAAACACACAATGCCTGCTACATGATGAATCACACGTACAGGTAGAAGCACACAGTGTACAGGAATGTTTGTTGTAAATCAAAGAAGTGTCAGCTAGGAAGTTTTGAGGTCCAGCTGCTGCATGATTAGACTCCATTAGTTATTTTTGGTGTTACACTGCTTTGTTGTTTGCTGTCTTGCCTCGATAGAAGGAACCTGAGTTGCTGGGACTTACCTGAGTTTGTAGCTAAGAGGTGAAAGTAGTAGAGACAGAAAAGGGATATCCCACTTCCTCTGTAACAGCACCCAAATACCTCAGAGTTCACAGCACTGCTCTTGTTGCCATTTGGAGGGCAGGAAACATCTCAGACCATCTGTTGAGGGTCTGAACTTCAGACCCACAAGGATACTCCTTTATCAGTTAGATGGCTAATATTTTTTTAAGGAATAGGGCTTTTATAGCTGTCTAAGAAATCTTTACTAAAACAGGCAATGAAAACATTTTCCTGGGTATCAAATTGGTTCAGTAAACGTAAGACCAACCCTTCAGCTGTTAAAAACCCATGAGATATAGAAAGAATTGCCATCCAGACAACACATTTCTTGATATACCCAACATTTATCTGGATTTTTGATACACCACTGCACAGTTTAAACTTCCTGGATGTCTACATATCATTGTTTTCATTTCATCCTGCACACAAAATTAAGAAGGGAAATAAAATCTCTCCTACCTGTGACATTCATGTCCACAATCAGCCCTTGCTGCACGTGCTCCTGAATCAGCTGCAGGGTCCTTTCAAAGATCTCCCCTGCCCTGGCTGTCTCGATGGTGTAGGGGTCCCTCGGGTAGCGGAACAGAGCCAGGAGGTCATTGGGAGTCTTGGGGCGCCTGTTTCCAGGAATTAAAAGTGATGCAGGATCATTAAAATTAATCAACTCTGCCCAGGGCAGTGAGACCCTACAAGCAGCAAGAGTCAGGCTCTAAGCTGGTCTAGTGCTTGGCCCCCAAATTAGTGAATAAGACCAACGTGGCTTGTCTGCACATTGCAGATGATTAAAGAAAGGATATTTTTCCCCAGGAAAATGTACATATTTAATTCCCTCAGTTTCTCTGGGGTTTTTCTGTGATAGTAATTTATTTTTTCACTTTTCAACAGCTGAAACCCAGAGGGTTTCTGGCTTAATACAAACTGTCCATCTTTCCAATAAAAACATATATTGGAGTAGAAAAGGATTGAATCATATTCACTCAAGAATTTATTTTTTATTGAGAAAATGGTTGGAATTTTTATATTATTATTTTTGTACACCCTCCACAAAGTCAGTTGCTTTCATAAAATGACTACTTTGATTATTTTCCTTTTTATTCACTATCTGCACAACCAGCTCCAGCTGACAAAATGCAGATAGAAGTGACATAAGAGATGATGCTCATGTATCTCACTTTTCCAGAATCCCAAATCTGTTGGGAAGCTCTATCACATCCTACATGGTGCCGGCTCAACCTCCGAAAAAATCGAAAAAATCCTGTATCTTTGCTTTGTGGGCTGCCAGTGCTAAAACAAGCTTGGAGAAAGCTTCATTTCTTGTGGGTTTTTATCACTTTTCTGTCTCAGGCCCCAGCTCCAGGCCCTTCCCACACTTACTTGCTGAAGAGCTCGGTTCGTGTGGAGTTGATGGCGTGGTCCACGCTGCTGATGGCCTCGCGCAGCGACGTGGCCACAAACGTGTCCCCGCTCCTCCCCACGTCCGTGGCTGCCCAAAGCACAGAGAAACAACAAAACGCCCTCAATTTGCTTCGATATTAATGGGCCCCCCCAGCTCAGGAAAATCTGTGCAGCAGCACCAGCTCCAGTGACCTTGCTGCCGAACAAACAGCGTTTCTGTTTGTAATATAAACACCATGGATTTATTTTGTTTATTCTGAAGAATGTGAACTGCCTGAAAAAGGAGGTGACTTTTTCAGGAGATGTCTGTGGGCACACATTCAGGGTTTTCTCCTGTACAGCTTTGCAAAAAAAAGGCCTGTTTTGGTTAGTGGTTAAACTGCAAAAAGAAAATGTAAAAATCACAGTGGGTTAATCCAAAAGAATATATTTGTTTCCCACAAAGGTACTTGCCAAATTAATGAAATTAATTTAAATATATTGCTCATGTATTAATTTTCTGTTTGTGGAAGACTTTACTTATTAATTATTTGTAGTATTTAATAGGTATTTATTATAATAATAGTTCAAACTTAGTGTTAACACATTTTCTACATCATTTTAGATAAAAATACCAAAGTTGTTGTTGGAATACCTTCAGAAGTAAAGACATCACTTCTTTAAAATTACTACAGCATGCATTTTTGAGCCAGGGCCTTTGTCACAGCTGAACAAACCAGTTCCCAGTTGGCTACTGGTGTATGCTAGAGCCAGCTGGTGAACGAGGCACCAATCAAGAATAAACCACAGAAATAATCTCAGGAATTATTTCAAACAACAAACACACTTCTGGCCATTTTCAGCTCCTTGCTTACAGCCCCTTTATGGAAAATGTTACTTAATTCATCTACTAAGCGACTAAGTGGCTATTGCTGGAACAGCTCTTTCTTATGTTTTAAACTTTTTTGCTTGCCTTTGATTTCTTTTCTCCTTTGCCAGTTTTCTTACCCTCTAAGAGGTACAATTTCCGCTCTGACCTCTGGTTTGACCAGCAGAGGAGAGCTACTCCTCCTTGTTCATTACAGCTTCCCTAACGCACAGAGCAGGAGATTGAAAACCAGACCTAGTTCCCATTCCCAAGAGTGGTGCACGGTCTAAGGCTGCACTTGATGATCCTGAAGGTCTTTTCCAGCCTCAGTGATTCTGTGAGTCTATGATTCTATGGCTGAGCAGACATTTAAACCCCTGTATTTGCAGTGACAATGTTGTTCTGCTCCTCCCTTCCCTGGCATGCAAGGTTTTGGTCAGATGATGATTTGTGAGCACATTGGCACATTTTAATAAGTTTCTCCCTCCCAGCAGAGGCAATAACTACATGGACACTGACAGCTGGGCTTGCAGGAGGAGGTTTAAAACAACACCTTTGGCTTTGCAGGGAGCAACTGCAGCTCAGCTGAGCAAACAGCGAGGGGCAGCTGGGAGAGATGCGTGGGCTTTCCCAACGAGGTGACTCCAAACCAAAAGGACCTGTCTGCAAAGAAGCTGAAGAAATCATTTCTTACATAATTATCTGCCCAAAGTGTAGCTGCCAACAGAGCACAGCAGGTCCTTGCATGGGAGCCAGAGAAGGCTCAGGGGGAGATACAGTACCGGTGATGGTGAGCTGCATGGCACTCGAGGTGAAGCCAAAGGGGTTCCTTGCTATGCACTCGTATCTGCCCTGGTCAGCCACGCCCAGGTCCTGAATGGAGAGGGTCCCATCCTGGCTGATGTGGAACTTGCCACTCTCTGTGATCTGGATGCCCTCCTGTTGCACCATCAAAAGACAAGAAGCTGTGTCAGAGCACAGAAAGCTTCCCACCAGCCCAGCCTCCAGCCTGCTCAGCAAACCCAGGGATGGATGTGATGAGCAAATGTGGCCACCAGATGTTAGCATTGCTCTTCCAGAGAAATCAGAGACAAGGCCAAAGACACCTGTTCCTGATGGCACCCACAGTGAGGAGGTCCCTGCTCAGCTCCTTCCCCTGGCCCAGCTCAGGTCACCCCCACAGAACACCCCATAGGACACCCCACACAGACACCCCACAGGACACCCCACACAGACACCCCACACAGACAGGCTGGCTGGAACAAGTCCCAGGCCCTGATGCCCCCACTGAAGTTTCATAGCACAGAATTAAGTTGAAATATTTTCAGATTTAGGACAACCTGAAACTGATGGATTTTTACTGGCCTTGACCTGCAAATCTTTTATTTTTTCTGGCTCTGACAGCATCACTCAAACCCATTCTCTCAGCCTGGCTGGTGACAGATGTGACTTTAGGTTTTATTTTTTTATCTTCCTGCTTCTTAACATCTTTCTGCTGCCCTGTCACAACCTAAACTTGCTCTGCTGCCCTCTCAGGCCCTTTCCTTCTGCTCCCACTGCTGGTTGAGCCCACAGAAAGCTGCAAAGAAAGAAAGCTGGTTCACCTCCCACCAGACTTTTGTGGAGGAAGTGTCACTCAAGCATTTTCTGTGCCTGACTGTGCTCAAAGGCAGGGCAGGTAACAAGGAAGGTCCCAAGTGTTGTACTACAGCATAGCAGGAAAAAAGTCAGAAGAACTGAAGCTAATGAATTTTGGAAAGAGCAGCCAGGCTGTTGTGTGATTTTGAGGGATCACAACTTTGCCCCATGATCCCCAGCTGGAGCCAACAAGCATCATCCAGTACCATCAGCAGAAATCCTGGATACAAGGACAAACTACTTAGAAAAAAATCTATTTTCAGGGTTGCTTTTTTTTTTTTCTTCCAGGGATGGTCAATCAAGTTTTTGTATCATCCTGGAATGTCACTGGCTTCAAGTAACTCTTTTGGAACGAAGAAAAGGAGAACACTTGCTGCAAGGCTTTGAGCCTGACAAACTGCAATGCTCTCTTAAAAACCCCAAATCAGTGGAAATGTTGGTCCTTATCCACGTGTATTGCAAAACTAATGAAACTGGGAGAGGTGTTGAAGGAGAGAGTTGTTTAATTCTCCCCTAGAGGAGCTGTCTCTCTCCCCAGTGATGTGAAATCCCCACGTACCTTGACCCAGGTGATGGTGGGCCTTGGGTCTCCCTGGGCAGTGCAGGAAATGGAAACGTCCTGGCCTGTCTCTGCCACCAGGTCTTGGGGGGGATGGAGGAACACTGGGATCACTGTGCAACACAGGGAAAAAATGTGAAAAAGAAGGAAGAAGGTGAAGAAGAACAACTTACCTCTGCCCTAAAACCTCCATCTTGCTTCATATTTATTTCTATATTCTAAAACCCCAAACTCTAAGTTTTCCACATTGTAATATTACACCCTTCTAACCAACTACACACCCATAATCCCAGTGCTATCAACCAATTTTGGAAGCCTTCTCCACAGCCTCAGGTTGTTGAGGTGTTGGGAGGGTCCCCAGGATGAGGTGAGAGATGAAAATTGACTCCAAATTCTCAGAAGCTGATGTATTATATTACATCATATCATTATAAGGTATACTAAAAAAACTATACTAAAGAAAGAGAAAGGATGCATCAGAAAGGTAGAAAAGAATGGTGATAAAAATCCGTGGCACACTCAGCGAGTCTGACACAGGTGGCTGTGATTGGCCATTAATTAAAAACAATTCACATGTTGGGTAAACAATTCTCCAAATCACATTCCAGAGGAGCAAAACATGGAGAAGCTGAGGCTTCTCATCTTGCCAGGAGAAGAAATCCTGGTGAAGGGATTTTTCATAAAATATCACAGTGACAGTAAGTCAAATGCGATCTTCCCTTGCGGGTCTGCGCCTTTCAGCACGGAAAGCTTAACATTCTCAGCATCCAGGGTTCCAACAATTTACCACAAAAGCAATGTCCCAGCTCTGCCAGCCCAGCTCACCTCGCGGGGTCACGGAGAGCTGCACGGGGACGCTCGTGCCGCCGATGGCGCTGATGGCATGGCACTCGTACTGCCCGTGGTCGTGCAGGGCCACCCGCCCCACGCGCAGCGTGCCCGTGGCCAGCACGCTGTGCCGCCGGTCGCTCGGCAAGGGCCCGCCTGGAGGATCAAGCAGCTCGTTAATTCCCTCATCCCACTGATGCCAGGACAATTTTTGCTTTGGTGTGCTCTTTGTAGCTATCCATGGCTCTGGAGGCTGTTGTTGGATAGTTATAAAGTTTCCTAACGCCAACGCTTTTCCTGTCAGACAAATTCCTGACGGCTGGTTCTGATCTTGCTTCTTATGGGAATCAAGGACAAGACACTTTCCCAAGACACCTTCCCAAGACACCTTCCCAAGACACATTCCCAAGACACCTTCCCAAGACACCTTCCCAAGACACCTTCCCAAGACACATTCCCAAGACACATTCCCAAGACACCTTCCCAAGACACCTTCCCAAGACACCTCGTGTATAAGACATGAACAACTAGCAGGGACGGAGGCTTCACAAGGGGTTGAACCAAGAGGGGGAATGACTTCATTGCTTCACGGGGATGCTCGTGCCGCCGATGGCGCTGGTGGCGTGGCACTCGTACTGCCCGTGGCCATGCAGGGCCACCCGCCCCATGTGCAGTGTGCCCGTGGCCAGCACGCTGTGCCGCCGGTCGCTCGGCAAGGGCCCGCCTGGGGGGGATCAAGCAGCTCGTTAATTCCCTCATCCCATCAATGCCAAAATGAGCTTTGCTTTGGTGTGTTCTTCATATCTATCCGTGGCTCTGGAGGCTCTTGTTGGATTGTTATGAAGTTTCCTAATGCTAGTGCTTTTCCTGTCAGACAAACAAATTCCTGAGGGCCGGTTCTGATCTTGCTTCTTAGGGGAATCAAGGACAAGACACCTTCCCAAGACACTTCCTTGTGTATTAGACATGAACAACTAGCAAAGAGTTTCAGAAGGGGTTGAACCAAGAGGGGGAATGACTTCATTACCTGTGTTTCCAACAGGGGATTCTTGTCAATTATGAGAATTTGCTGAAGTTATAAAACTGTACTTGCCCTATGTCACCTGTGCTTTGACACGTGTGCATTTTCAGCACATTCTCAGCATGCAATTAAAGACCTGCTTTTATATTACTTCCTATATTAATATTGTCACAAAAGTGTTTTGTGTTGTTTCTAGATTTTGAAGGCATAACCATCACTGTAGGGGTCTGTGTGATAGTCACATATTTTATTTCCTTCCCAGCATCAATTGCCCTGAAATATCACCTTTACACACTGAACTGTCTTGTCTGATCAGCTGGGAAGAGCTGGAACCCTTTTTCTTTCCTCCTAAGTATTTTCTTAGAGCAACCTGCAGATTTTTTTGACGCTTGATGGATAGCAAATCACTCTTCAATTATCCAAACTCTCTGTTTCATCAAATAAATGGGAACATTTGGCATTGTCTTTCTAAATTTTTTGGTCTGATTTTTTGGTCTGGAAACAGTTGTTTCAATATTTTCTGTATTTCAGGAGAAAAGCTAAAAACTAAACAGCTTTAACAAACCCAAATAAAATTATCAAAATTTGTCAGGCTAGCAACTTTTTTTATATATACTCCATTTTCCTCCATTTATTCATCCTCTACTTATTTATCCCAATATGCTCTCAAAAGTGGCTTTGAGACGAACAATGCTCATCTCAATGCTCCCTTCCTCTTGCCTTGCTTTCAGCATGTGAAAGCACTGTAAAGCTTCATTGGGTTTTTTATTTATGGAGTGCTGAGTACAGACCTGGTTACAAAGCAGTTATGAACCTCACTTCTTGTCACTGTGCTCCTTTCCATGTGCCTAAGATATATTTTCTGGGAAGTGGAGGAAAACAGGTTAAAGGAGATAGAGAACATGCTGGCAGAGCAGAATTTCAGCTGGTCCTTCTTAACTCCGCATCAGGGCCATTGCTGTGGAAGCTGGAACACAATACCCACAAAATCTCCACAGCCCTAAACCATTAATTATGGCTTGTGAAGCATAAGGAAAAGTTGGAGGACCTCTGGGCCAAGCATTATTGGCTTCTGTCCCAGAAAGTGTTGGATGAGATCAGTTCAGTGGAGCCAGCATTAACAATTATTTGAGACTTTAAAAGTTCACCACCACCTGTTGTCCCAAAATCTTTTTTCCTAAGCTATGAGAAAACTCTGAGGTGTGCCAGTGAATGGTGCCCTTCTGCAACGTGCACCACAGGGGCAGCAAATCAGGGACAATGACACAGAGCTGGCACATGGTGGTACTGCAAAAGGAAGGGGTGGAATCATCAACCCAGAAGTGTTAAAAAAAAAGTGTAGATTTGGCATTTAGGGACGTGGTTTAGTGGTGAACGTGGCAGTGTTGGGTTAAAGGCTGGAATTCATGATCTTAGAGGTCTTTTCCCACTCAAACAATTCTGTGATTGATATCCACTGATTTGGAGTGTCCAGATCTCGCCTTTTCAGAGGAGGTGGGAAGCCACTGCAGGAAGAAGTGTAATGCTTTCCATGGGTTTCATGCTGATGAAAACCATCACACTCCTTCCTTCTGACAGAGACCCAAGATGCTCCTTCCCCAGTGCTTAACACCATCCTTGGTGATCTACAACACACCTCCTTGTGGGACTGGGTCTGTGCTGGTCACAATTTGTCCTGTGCCACCACCCTGGACCAGCAGCTCAGCTGTTCCCACCCACACCCTGTGGATGATGGCATGGGAGAGAGAAGTCACAAGTCAAGTGAGGCAGTACCTGCCCTTGTCCAGGTAATCACTGGGGGAGGGTGACCCTCAGCAGAGCAGGGGAAATCCACGCTTTGTCCCTCAGTTACTGTCTGATCCGTGGGAATGACGAGAAACCTGGGAGAATCTGGAAGGGAAAGCAATGACTGAGCAGCAGGAAACACTCAGGGAGTTCATGGGAGCAGAACCAGCCACAAGACTCAAACACTCCCCACTGACCAAACACTGTGTCCCAGAAATGTCCCGGAACCCTCCCAGGATCAGCCTGGGAGCCCTGACCTTGCACTATGATCCTTGCTGTGGCCTGGATGGATCCCTCAGAGTTGCTGGCATTGCAGTTGTACTGCCCCTGCTCCGAGAAGGTGACGTTCTGGATGAAGAGTCCTCCGGAGCTGGTGATGGTGAAACGGGAATCCTGCGGCAGAGGAGAGCCCGTGCCAAGGGTCCAGCTGATGCGGGGCTGGGGGTGCCCAGAGACCCCACACTCCAGGGTGACACTTTCCCCAACCAGCACTTCAGTGTTCTGTGGCTGGATCACAAAAGTGGGCTTGGCTGGAAGGAAAGGAGAGCTTTAGGAGCCAGCTCTGCTGCCTGCTCACTGATGGGCAGAAGTTGCTTGGACTCCTCTGCAACCCAGCAACCCACCCTGGTTTTACCCTGACATCCAAACCTTCACTGTGAGCAATGCCCCACCATCTTCCTACACCTCCTCACACCCACTCACCCAGTCCTGGAGCATCCCCACACCCATGTTCCCTTCACCCTGGGGAAGAATTCAGAATTCATCCCAGACTTCAAACTCCCTCCCCAGTCCCAATTACCTTCAATCCCTCAGTTCCCCTTTTCCCGCTCCAGTGGGAACCCCACCCCTGAAGCTCAGGCCTCACTTGCCTGCCTCCTCTCTCCCCCAGCACACCAACAACACCTTGGCATAGACAAAGCTGGGACTGACTCTGATTTAGCTCCATTCCCATCTCCAGCTCCCCAGGCTGTAAAGGGGTGCAGAAAGCTCAATTACACGGGGTGCCAAAATAGCGCAGCACGACCTCCTGTGTCTTGACCTCCCCAGCAATGTTCTTGGCCATGCACTGGTAGACGCCTTTGTCCGACTCCTTGGTGTTCTGGATCATCAAGGTACCATCTTGCAACAGGTTCAGGCGGTTGTCATCTTTCATGTCAATCTTATTACTGAAAAAACAGCCACAAACGGGCAAAATCTGAAAGGAATAAAGACTGGTGGTCCCCTCCCACCCCGGGGGGATTTGGGGGCTTTGCATTGCAAACAAGTTGGTGTTTCTTGAGCTACTCTGAGACTTCATGAAATTTCCAGCAAGAGTTCTGACTCACAGCACTGAAGTGCAGCTCCAGCTCTGATTTGCTCCCTGGGTGAGTTGTTTTTTCTCTCCCCACTGATTACACAGGACATTTACAGCCCATCAGGAGAGCATTCTGTTCCCGTGTCACTGCCATTGTCAGGGCGTCCTGGCCCGGAATGCCTGTTCCTCTTTCTCACTAAGTGCAAATTTAACAATGAATTAATATTGTTCTTGTGTGCAGCCATTGCTATTCAAACTCCAGACTCAAAGGCCTGAGAGGAGCAAAAAGCTCTGAGAAGTCACCATGGGACCCCAACACAGCTTGGACTCCAACCCAGCCCGAGAGCTGTGAAACATCTTCCTTTTCTCTGCAGTGACCTGTGGCTCCTGGATCCCAGCCCGTGGCAGAAGGTCCCAGTGCGAAGGAATCTTGGATGGCTGCAGATGATGGAAAGGGAAGAAGGGACCTCTCTCCCCCTAGGACAAAGGCTGAACCCACTATGCAATCTAATCTGCTTGCTGGGCATTTATTTAATTCCCCTGGTGTCTCCTCTCTCCAGCCATATCTCGTTTGTTGAGCATTTATTATCATTATCCTTCTTACAATGCTGTCTTTGGGAGCCTGCCAGCATTTCCCTAACAAAACCTTCCTTCCAAAGGGACTTAACTCAGCCATAAACTTTTGCTCTGGGCTGAAACTCTGCCTGGTGGGGGGTTTGCTGAAGAAGCACACATTGATCATTTTTTATTAATAACCAAGCCCTGCTCAGGCTTCACCAGCCAAGAAGCTCATAAAGCAGCAAGGCAGCTTCACTTCAACAGTGGGCACAGAATATTTTATTGTGCAGCATTTCCCAGAACACTCTGGCATCTAGCACATAACCTATACACAAATTTGCAAATTCTGTCCTTCAGTGGAGCACAGCAATTTTTCCTTTTGGAAAGAAACCTCATACCTAGCACAATCAGCCTTTAGTGAGAAGCATTTCAGCAGTTAACAAATGGCAAGCATGGTGGCTGAGAGCAACATGAAACTCTAATTTTATTTTTTTCCTGATCAAAAGACAACTGCTTTTAGCCTGCAGAGTGTGTTTATAGGAAAGTTATAAGCTCTTGGAATCCATTACAAACACAGATGAAATATTTCAAATGCAGATGAAAACACCACTTGGATTACATGGTCACCAGAGAATGCTGTTAAAAGGAAGGTAAATATAACCCATGAAATAACCATTTCTTTATACCTCTTTTTTTTTTTTTTTTAACGTTGTGTGAAACAACTTTTGTAATTACAGGCAGGCAGTGAAGAGCTCAGTGCTTGAAAACCTTTGCCACCCCAGGGCTCCTTGCATGTGACTTACTTATTGTGCAGCCAGATGATGGCAGGCTTTGGGTTTCCTTCTGCCCTGCAGGTGAAATAAACTGTGTTTCCCAGGAGCACATCCACGTCCTGGGGCTCTGAGGTTATTCGAGGCCTCTCTGCAAAACACCATTTGAACAAAACCCAGTGCAAAGCAGCACAAAAATTCAGCCCAGCTGGGGTGTGGTGGGGCACACAACAGCCATCCTGCAATGCCCCAAGAAACAGGTACAGCCCCAGGCACAGCAGCATCCACTCAGAGCCACCCCAAAACTCACTAACACCTGCAAATATCGTGAAGGAATAGCATCATTCACCTGTAAAGGCCCTGGGGAATTATGGCTGTTCCTATTCCCAGTAGCTGGGCAGTGGATGAGTTCCCACAGTCCTGACTGTACAGGGGATCATTACAGAGCTGGTCCCTGTCTCCCCCAAAGAAGCAAAGAAGTCAGTAGCATCCTCACTTGGGTTGTTTCTCTGCCCTTGGCAGCCTGGAGCTTTCTGCTCCACCTGAGCACAGAGCCAGCTCCCTGCAAGCCACACCACTTCCTTCCCAACAGGATTTCATTCATTATGGCCCTAATTCATCATCCTGTCCCTATCCAGCCAAGCCTTTCACTGTGTTCTTCACTCTGAATGTACTCAAGCACCAAGCAAGTTAAACATTGAAAGGATGTGCTAAAACAGGGAGGAATTTATGGACAAGCCCCGGAGTGCTTGAGCTTGATTCAAAAAGCTTACCCATTTCACAATCTGCATGCTCATCAGTGATCCAGTAAAACCAGCTGGATTATTCCTAAAATTGAGAACCTGTCACCTCCTCCAATGGAAGGTCAGTGTCCTCACTCCTCAGACCACAAATTAATGGCTCAGAAAAAATCCCTAAAGGCAAACCCAGCACAGCCCAAACCCAGCTCAGGCCAAACCCAGCTCAGCCCCACAGTACAAAACACTGACCCAGGGCAGATTTGCCCCTGTAGCTCACAGCTGCTCAAAGCCATGGGTTAATGGTACCAGCAGCTTTCAGACTGACTCAAATATCAGCCACCTGCATGGGTAGAGCTCTGTGCTGAGCTCTGTATCATTTGTCTTCCCAGCTGGCACACCACCAGGGTGAAAGCCAAATGCCAGCAAAATCTTCCCACCAGGTGCTCTGGTAATTTGACAGACACCCCGCTGTGTTTCCATGCCTAAACCAGAACAAATTTGCACTAACAGCTGTACTGTGGCACGGGGAGTGTGCTGGGGCCAGCGTGCTGTGTGGCACAGCCACTCCATGTGTCCTCAGCTGCTTTGCCTAGGCCCTTCCTATCCCCCCTCCCTTGAGGTCATGGGCCTGTTTGTGCCAACTCAACTCTTCGCATGGCTGTGCCCTAAATTAATCTGCGAAATGGTAAATTTTTATTTTTTTAAAATAATGAAATCATAAGAGAAAAGCTGAATTGAATGGAGAGCTCGTCAAAATCCAGCTGAGCTCACACATTTGGCTCACAGCAGGGCCGTGCACAGCTGGACTGGCATATCCAGGGGGGATGCTAACAGCCAGCCCACGTGGGTGGGAATTTCTCAAACTGACTCTACCAGCAGCAAAGCACCATGGAACTACAGCCAATGTTTGTGCCAACCTCCACTTAAAAATCAGAGTTTTGTCTTACCTCCACTTAAAAATCAGAGATTTCTATATGAAATAACTAATTTTAAGATTTTTTCAGAAAAAAACACAATTTAAAACTCTAAGTTTAAAGAATAACAGCCTAACAAAATCCATCAGTTACATCACAGTCAAACACAGCATTCAGCTCCATATCTACAATGCTCTCCCTCAGGTTTCCAGTTGTGCTCCCTGCCACTGCAGCTCTCCCAGTGTTCCCCTTCTGTTCAGCCTAATGTGGGGTATTTCCTGGTTTAGCCACTGGGCAGCAGATCCTTTACCAGCCCTACTCTGTGCAAAAAGCCAAGACAACACCCACCAGCCAAAACAGAGCTGCCTCCAACACCCCTGGCAATATCAGCTTCCTCCTGCAGCCCCACTGGGATTTTCCCATTCCAGCAGTGAAGGAGGGAGAAACCAGGATGCCGGCAGAGGGAAGAGGGAGGAAAAGGGCAGGAGGGAGCAGTTTCCAGCCCACAGGGCAGCTGCAGGGATCGCAGTGGAGGGTGTGAGCTGGCTCACCACAGTTGAGCTCCTGCGCGGTCAGGGTGGCGATGGAGCGGCCGTGCAGGCCCCGCGGAGCCTCGCAGGTGGCGGCGCTCTGGATGCTGCCCTGCTCTGCGTGCTGCTTCAGCAGCTCTGCCAGCCACAGCAGCTCACAGTCACACACCAGAGAGTTGGAGTCCAGCCTCCTGCAACAGCAAAAGGCGTCTGAGAGCCCAGGCTGCAGCTGCTGGGCTGCCTCCCTCTCCAGGGGACGCAGCTCTCCAGGGTCACCTGGGTGGTTTGCCCTGTATTTGGTTATATCCCAAGTGAAAATCCGAGATATTTCATTGCCACAATGGTAAGCTAGGATGCTTGACCAATTAGAAAGATTTAATTAGAAAACTACTAGAAACTATTCCAGTTTCAAATAGAAATTATTTAGTTAAACCGGATTATGCAGTTTTGGACTACTTGAGACACTGAAATGTTGGGGTTTTACCCTGGGATGGAGATTTCAACCTTTACTGAATTCTGTAAGAACTGCCTAACTGCCTCTGTTACAGCTTTTCTCTTTTATCTCCAACACCACCCCCCCCCCCCCCCCCCACCATTTATTTATGTGTGGATGGGATCAGACCCTTCCTGAAACCAGCTGTGAGGGGTTGCAGCATTTCTGCACAACTGGAAGAACTTTTATTACTGCAACACAAGCCTGAACCAGAGCAAATGGAGCTCCATGACCTCCCAGTGCCCCCAGCCTCTTCCCTGCACTGACCTCATTCCTACAAGCAGTGCTATCCATGAGGATAAATGAGGACTACAGGGGGATTAGTTTGTTCCTCCTTCCCCACTGACAGTTTTACAGTCGATGGGTCTGAGCCATTGTCATGGTTTTCAAAACCAGGACAGCCATCCAAAAACAAAATACAAAAAAACCCTAAACAAACAAACAAGCAAACAAACAAAAAAAGGAAGAAAAATCTAACACTTTCAGGGTCACATATTTGAGAATGTGAGATTTCACATAGGGCCATGACCAAGTATTTTATAGACATCCCATCTTTTTCTCTGGCACATACAGACAGCATTTCACAAGATATTCCCTGTTAAAGAGAAGTGAAGCATTTTACCTGCTTGCAGAAATCACTGAAGGCAGCAGTGAGAAATACATTACTTTATTGTACTTGAAAATCATGGCAGAACACCAAAATTCTTTACCTTTTGAATTTTTTTTCCTCCCAAACACATCATAGAACTTATTTCCAGAGATCATAAAACCAAAGCAAGAAAGAAGTAAGCTGAAGAGACAGACAGGTTATGTGGGAATGGCACTCTGGGGAATTCCTGCATGGAATGGGAATCATGCCCCTTGGCGCTCCTCTGACTAATTTCAATCTAGAAAACAAGCCTTTTCTTTTATGACTATGATTTTTCTAACCATGTTAGATACTGATCTACAGACATGTTCAAGGTCATATCCATGACCTGGACTTTCTACATTTTTCAAGGATGTTTTATGGGTTCAAACTCTTGTGAAGACTTTCCAGGAACGTTCATTCCTGCGGCATTATTAAGCTGTAAGCTGATTATAATTAGACACTAGCATAAAGAAACTTCTAACTGCTTAAATAAGCTTTCAGGTCCAATCAAAACTGTTTTATAAACTAAGCAGTGGCCTTAGAAGTGCAACAACTAAAAGCTTTGCCAACCAGGCACATTCTTCCTCAGGTCCTGCCCATCTGATTGAAGACAAACAATCTCTTTGCAGGCAATATTTTTTACTTACAGCCGTTTGAGGGATTCCAGTTGAGAGAATGTCCCTGGATGAATCTTGGAAATCTTGTTGTTGTGCAAGAATCTGCAGTGGGAGAAGCCATGCCAGAACATTATTCAGTATTTGCACTGTGAGGATGACAACACCCCAGGTCACAACTCGGATTCAATGCAAAGGCCACTCATCCAAACGGAGCTCAGTGTTTGAATTCCATGTTTGTTTCCATGAGCTGGAGGGATTTCATCCCTTGGTGGGTGTGACGTAACATGCCAAAGGCGAGAGCGGGCGTGGGCTGGAAACCGTGACTCAGGATGGGATGGAACAGGTTGGAACTGGATCCTTCCAGTTTCTCTGCACAGGGAGGAGAAAGGGCACAAAATCCCCTCAGACCGGACCCACCCTCTGTTTTCTGGGCCCGGGTCAGCTCCAGTTTAGAAGGGATCTTTTCCTTGCCCTGTGCAGATGATGTGACAATTCCACAAGGGCAGCCATTGGTGTTAGACAACTCCTGCATTGGACTCCATGTAGTTATTAGCCCAAATCCATGAGCAAATCTAATTCAGACAACAGCCACCTAAACTGGGCTTGTCTCAGAACAAAACTGAGGTAAATTCTCACTTCCAAAATCTTAGCACACACATAAAACTCTCCAGTTGTTAGGGAGAAACCCTGATTGCACTAAAATGCACAAACTTAGTGGGGACCAAGAGGGGACCATGAACTCCCCATTCCCATAGTGGTGGGGGAATTTACTTGTGTTGGTTACATCTAAAACTCATGAGAGACCATTGATAAAAGAGATTAAGTAATTTTAGTAGGTGGTGGAACAGGAGAGAACACAAAAGCAGCACAGGTCGAGTGCAAATGTCTGCACACACATGTGTGCACCAGAGTCCAGCCTGGTTGCCCAGCTTGGAGGCTGAAAAACCTTCCTTTAAAATTTAAATCCAGAATTTTTGTTGGATCCAATACAGTGACTGAGATCAGCCATGCACTGATCCAGGTCTGAATTTTCCTAAGGGTGTGGGATCCCACAGTTTTATTTCTTTGGCATGTATGGATATAAGGCACATTTCCACAGAGCCCAGAAGAGTCTGCTGGTTTCTCCATGGAGTGGGAACCACAGATGGACTGTTGTACTGGTGGCTCCATTACTGCTAGAAGCAGTCCTGGGGAGCAGGAGACTCCATTTCCTTACTGCTTTCAAGAAGGATGTGTGTTTTTCTTGTTAGACTTTCTTCTGACTTTATCCCTTTTCCACCCCCTTTTTTTAGCTCACTCTGCCCAACAGTGACTAACGTTGCTGACCTTATGCTCAGAGTAAAATTTCACTTGGCTTGACCAGCTGTAGGACTTTCTGCAGATTTACTCCTATTTAGATGGAAACCTGAACATAACATAAAATGGGAAATTCCCTTCACATCCTCAGTCACCCTCCCCCTCAGCAATTATGTAAAATCTCTTTCTTTAAAGAAGTTTCTTTTTGCATTTTGGAGATCACACTCCATGCTAGCAAAACTGCTACACTAAATAAAGGGGTTTTTCCCCTTGTCGTCACCCTCTTAGTCCCAATAAATTCCCCATCTTTACTCACAGCCTTTCAAGTTTAGGCAGGTCACTAAAAGTCTCCAGCTCCAGACTTTCCAAGTTGTTGAAATGCAGGTACCTGTGACAGAAATCACACACAGATTGAATTTGAGAGACAGAAGATCTTCCCAGATCAGCCCACCAGTGCCCCCCAGCTGGTCACCACTCAGGGCAGGTGTGGAGAAGCCAGAATCCATGTTAGTGTCTCCAGTTTCCACACGCAAACACAGCAGCCAACATGGCTTTTCTGATAATACAGACTAATATTTTTAGTTCCACTAAAATCCAAAGTGTGACCTGCCAGTCCAGAGGCCAAGGGGACCTCCTGCCTGTCCCAGGTCACCCCTTGCCATCAAGGAAAAAACGTGCTGCCTGCAGAGCAACTCACCACAGTACCTGAGCCTCCCTGTTGCCATGAGCTGTGACATTCACCAGCACAACTGACACATTCCTGATCTTTAGATGGATTTTTTACAGCCCCCAAATTGCCTAAACTATTCTCCTTTATTTTACACAGGCATAAATTTCACAGCAGACACAGATTAACCACAGATCTACAAATACTCATTCTGCTATTGTAGCTGACTGCATTGAGAAATAATTGCCTAAGCCTCCACATGGCTGCCTGATTTGTAATGGAAGGATTCATGATAAATGGTCCAGTATCAGAGAGGGTGACTCAGATTCTGCACTGGAGGGTCGCAGTGGGGAGGACAGGGACGTGCTCTAATCACTCTCAGATGCCTGCTGAGATTGCTCTGGACCTTGAGGAAAGCATCTGATCCTGTCCATCACTTGGGTTATACTTTTTCCTGAAAAGCTGGCTTGTGGGGACAGGAAAACGGGGTAGGATTTGAGCAAAGCTATTTCTTCTGGAGTTAAGCCTGCCTGAGATTGAAAACAGATGGGACTTTCAGCGGGTTGTTTGTTGGTTTTGTGGGTTTGTTGGTTTTGGTTTTTTTTCTTTTATTCGTGACATCAAGTCTGGAACACTCACTGCTGAAATATCCCTGTGGGCAGCATCAGCTCTCTAAGCTCAGCTTAGAGCCAGTTCCAGCTTCCTAAATTTTCTCCCAGGCATCCTTGCTGAGTTGGCTGACAAACCACAGTGTACACAAGCTCGGTGGCACACCTATTGTTAGGATTGCCTGAAACTTCCAATTATGCTCTGTCCTCTTGTGCTGTCAACCTGGAGAACAAGCTGGATCCTATTCCTTTTACAGCAAAGTCCTTGGTCACATTCCAGCCCTATAAATGCTGCAGCTGGGAACAATTCAGGAATTAGACCGGTTTCACCTTTGGTCCCTGCTCTCCAATGATACAAGCAATTCCTGCATTTGAATTATCTAGGAAGAATAAATCATTAGGAAGGAATTGTTCCCTGTGAGGGTGGAGGGTGCCCAGAGAAGCTGTGGCTGCCCCATCCCTGGATGTGTCCAAGGGGTTGGATGGGGCTGGGAGCAACGTGGGACAGTGGAGGTGTCCCTGCCCATGGCAGGGGGTGGGATAAAATGAGCTCTAAGATCGTTTCCAAGCCAAACCATTTCACATATCTGTAATTCAAATATCCAGGCTCACACTCCCTCCACCAGTCCCAAGCAAGAAAAATCCAGTCCCAGTTTAGGAAGGCACTTCAGAAGAGCCAGATCTCAGTCTGCCCATCTCACCACGAGAGTGGTGCACTAAGAGTCAAAAATGAAAACAGCAGAGCTTTGCCCTAGACAGAAGGGGAGCAAATGGGGACTGCTGGAGTGATGGACTCCAGCTGCCAGGAAAGCACACGAGGCTCCCTCCAGCCCAGACTGAGAGCAGAGCGCCACGCGGCTCGAGGGAAGGTCATGACTGTGTTTGTTTGGATCCTTCATCTTCCCCCACTGCAATTTCCAGATGCTTTGCAGCATGGGAGCACCACCACCCTGGTAGCTCCCAGGAATACTCGGCAGCCCCAGCTCCCAGCTTGTGCTGCATCCATTCATTCCCAGCAGAGCTTTGGATGAGAGAGAAACTAAACCAGCACCCTCAGTTTAAGTAAAGGACCAGATCTGACTTTCTGCTCGAGGAATGCCCAGACACAAACCCAGCAGAGCCTTCTGCTCCCAGCCCTCCTGCAGACCCTCACAAGGTCCTTGGAAATAAAGGCCATCAGGGGCACAGCTGGGTTCTTCCTATGCTCCAGAGGTTTGGGTGCAGGAGAAAACACATGGAACACCAGTAGGAAGAGACCTCAGCACTAACTGATCAAAACCAATACCCAGAACAGCTGTCTTGAAATGAACCCAGTGTGGTCTGGCAAATGTGGATGAGAAAAGAGCAGCAGCTTCATCTTACCCCTCCCTAAGTGCCTGCTGCTCCCCAAGCCTGGCAGCACAGCATGCAAACAAGGCTCATCTGTACTTACAGCTGCTCCAGGGAATGCAGCCCGTGGAAGGCATGTTGCTGGATGCTCTGGATCTCATTTTTATAAAGGTAGCTTTCAAAAGGAGAGAACAGAAACAGCATTAGGGGAACTGATCAGCAGTTGTGCTCTAAAAAGTCACAGGAAACAGCAATGACCCTCAACCCAAACCAGAACTTGCTGCCTGGGTTCAAGGGCAATGTTTTATACCCCTGACACTCAACTCCAAACACACACAGTACATCCTTGACTGGCAAATATTAAAAGTAGGTTGTTAGATTTTGAAGAGGTCAAAAATTACCGAGCCACCAACTCACAGGTATTTCAGGTTCTCCAGATCTTCAAAGGATCTTCTCACGATTTGTTTTATCTGGTTATTGTTCAGCAGCCTGTTTAAATCAAGAAAGTAAAACACAGCTGGTGAAGTCAGCACGTGTGAGATTTGTGGCATTTCTGTTCTTGGATGCCCACTGAAAAATTCTGAGCCCAGGTGTCACAGAATTAAAGATTTAATGGGGTTAGCAAGTCAAAGTTTGTGTCCTCACACCAGCCAAGGCAGTGAGAAGGTTTCTCACCCAGAGGGGCCAAGTACTTCCAGTACTGCAGTGCTCAAAGTATTTTCCTTACCTTTTGCCACAGTTTTCATCCCAAAGTGACAATTTCATCCAGAAAAGGGATGAGGGGATGGGAGACAGGCAGAAAGAAGCAGTGAGGAGTAAGATTTTAAATCATTGCTGTCACTCTTGTGCAACCACAGTGGGTGTTGGAGGTGCCTGGTTGTGTTCAACAAGTGAGCAGGGGAGTGCAGAGCCAGTTTTTAGAAGTCCAAATGCAGTTTGAAACAGCAGTTCCCAGTGGAGTTACAGGAGCCACAAAATGCTAATAGCTCTGCTCTAATCACCTTGTAACTGATACACACAAATGAGAAAGAAATAAATTCAACTTTGACTCCTGAGGCTGCTCACAGACAACCTCTCTCGATCTCAGGAGCTTTGTGCCAGATTTTAATCCAAAACCTCTGGGCCACGTGGCACTGGAGAGCTGTGTGACACTGGTGTGTGCAGCTGCCATGGCTGTGTGTGCAGTGACCATGGCTGCCAGGGACCAGAAACAGCCCAGCTCTGCAAGAGCCACGCTGTGCAGCACTGTAACCACAGAGCTGAGCCCTGCAGAGCTCTGCTGCAGCCCCTGCCAAGCCCAGCACGGAGAAAACACAATAAATCACTTATAAATAGCTCCCCAACACACAAAGCTGAGCTGCTCCTCGTGGCTGCCCTCCCGCGGGTCTCTCTCTGTGGCTCCCACTGAGGTTCAGGTCTGGCAAAGCTCAGAGCTGGGGGGGTTTTTAGTGCTGAACAGCCCAGAGCAAGGATTTCACCAGGCACCACTCATTTTTAAAATTCCTAAATGGAGTTGTGGGCAGAGAGGGAATCTGTGACTCTGTGCTGCAAAGATTTCTTTTTCAGGTGTTGTAGGAAAAACAGCAATTCCCTCTGCAAGCAGCCAGACCTTACTATGTTGGGTCACATTAAATACATGTACTGGATGTGCATTTTACAAGCTGATTTTTGCCATAGCTCTGCTCCTCAGGAACAATCTGCCTGCAGGCAGCAGGTGAGAAGACAGTTCAGCACTTTCCCTGCAGCAAAACCCAATCTTTGCCCTGCTTTTCTGGACAAAAAAGAGCAGCCAAGCCTCTGTCATTACAAGCCAAGGCATTTTCCTGGCCAAAACCAGTTTGTGCAGGTAAAGGATGGAGAGAAAAGACAAAGAGATGGGGAGAAATGGCAAAAAACTTGTGGGAAAAGAAGATTAAGGTGAAATCAAACACCTCAAGGATGACAGAAGAGATAGAAGATGTCAGAAGCACACACACACATTTGATGGCAGCTTCACAAGTTCTCTCCAGACAGCTGATGCAGCTTTCCACCAGCTTTTTCTCAGGTGGAGAATTACACTGAGGGTTAGAAAAAGCATGTGAGAAACCCAAGAGCAAACAACTTTGTGAGGCAGGCAATGAGGGGTTGAGGAAAACCTCATTGCCCTGGCTTTGCCCACTGGATCAGCTGCCCTGACACCAGGGGTGTGGGTGGCACTGCCAGGCTGCACAGCCCAGGGCTGGCCTGCAGAGGTGAAGGCAGAGAAGGCTGGAAAGCTCCTGCACAGCTGGAAGCAATGGCTCACACACAGCTGAGGTCAAACAGCCCGGGCTCACTCCTAAGGATGCAAAAATGATGTCAGGGCCTTGGAACACACGATCCTGCTCTGACTGCCAGCTATGCTGAGTGGAAACACAGTCCCTGAGCATCAACCCAAAAGTTTATTTGATGACTGAACACCCAAGGGCTGGCAATGAATGCCTGAGGGCAGTGTGGGAGAGGGCTTTTGTCTATTTGCCCGCAGGACAAAGACAACCCAGGCACCAGCCCTGCTTCCCTCCCTGCCCCATCAGCTTCCATCTCTGGCCAGAGCACACGAGGCAGCTCCTGCTCTGTTATCTGAGCCCTGGCCCAGTGCTGAGCACACAGTGGGCTGCCAGCACCGACCTCATTGCCATGGATGCCAGCACCTGGCACACACCTGGCATTGGCCATTCGCCTCCCAGGGGACAGGTGGCAGTGACCAGGTGAGCAGGGTCACAGCAACAGCCTGAGCAGCCCCATGCAGCAGCACGGTCTGGAGCCCTTTGCTGATTGTTATCTTTAATGCTCAGAGTTCAGACCAGGACTGATCTCCACTGGGATTTCAAATTCCATTATGCTGTCTGGCTGTGTTTTGGGGCTATTTAAAAGCATTATCCCAGTCTGTTTTGTTGTCTTGGCTATTTTGTACAGTTCAAGGGAGTGTAATCACCGAGCCAGCCAAATAAGATGAATCCTGGAAGTTCAGATGGCAAGCAGCACACAGGGCTCTTATCTCATCGTCTGACACTTAAAAACTTGCTCATTGCCTGATTTAAGAATAAAAAGTGCATGGAAGAAGCCATCTCTGCTTCCTGTCTCAGGATTCCCCATTGTAATGGAAGGATAAGTCCTGGAAAACACTGGAAAGTGAGATAATGATGAAGCCCATAATAGCCCACTTATTCCAAAATGCTGCTTTCAGAGAAATCCACGGACAAGGCAGCACAGCTGGCTCCTGGAGAGAGTTTGGATGGCTCCTGCACAGCTGTCTGCTCCCTGACTCCTCTGCAATTCACCCAGGCAGAGCAGCGTGCCAAACCCTGGCATGGCCTGGCTGTCGGTCCCAGCTGCCATCCACAGCAAAAATGCCCCAATTCCTGCTGCCCTTAGAGGGCTGAAAGCTGGGACCCAGATCTGCTGGGAATAAATAAATAATAAAAAAATAAAAAATAAATAATAAATAAATATTGATCTGAGAAGATCATTATCTCTCTCATTATCTTAACCACACCCTGTAGCAAAGCAGGCTTAATTAAAAGTACCAGAAGCACATTTCCTGGCAATAGGATGGGGCATTCCCCTTCATGCCCCATGAACTGGACTCCACATGAGTAGGAGAACTCAATCACACAGGCTGTATTCCTGCCAAACTCTTCTGGGATGTTTGAGATATACAAGCACCATGAGATCTGGCCCAGATTCACCAAGAGAACATTTTACATTCAGTTTCCTCTAGATTTTATGTGTGACTGCCTCTCCTTTCTCCTTCCCCACCCTCTCTCTAGGTTTCCAGGCACAGGCTTAAGTTCCATTAAATGAGTGGCTTTCTGTTTTGAAGAATGTATTAAATGATGTGACAGGACAGAATTCAGGCTCAAACCATGTTCTCTTTCCTCCTTTCATTTGACAATCCACATGCTGCAGCCATTGTGACAAAACAGCTATTTTTTTCCTCACACCATTAATAGAAATCATCATGTAGTGTATTTAGAGGGGGAGAAAAATTGAGTTTTATGTTCAACCACACATTCCCCCTTGTTGACAGAATGATCTGGAATAGTTATTTCCCATATTTAAGGGAGGAACTTTTATTCTGAGATCCAAGCAGGCTCTGACATCCCCTCCTTGCTGGCAGGAACACATTCTCTCAGGAGTTACTAGAGAGTAAAAGACAGAAACTCCACATTGCTGCTCTGTTCACTCTGAGGCTCTTTAGCAGCAGCAGCAGCACCCAAAGCAGAGCTGCAGGGCTCACCCAAAGTGTTTTGCTCTCACCTGAGCAGAAAGAGAAACGTGAAGTGAGCAGTGACAGGGCAAAGGGCCAGGCAGAGGCACAAGCAATGTGGTCTCCACAGAGTCCCTGTTCTCCAGGGTGCTCTTGCCTCAGGAATACCAAAATACACACTGGGGATGTAAAGAAACTTTGGTCCCTGGCTTGGACATTTCTATGGGGGATGCTGGAGAGACCCAGGGAGCAGCAGCCCTTTGAACAGCAGGGAACCAAAGGGGCAGCAGTGACTCCCTGGGAATCACTGGGCTCTCATCATCCATCCCCACCCAGAAATGACCTAAAGGAGCCAAAGCTGGGAAGCAGGGAGAGGCTGTGCCTCACCATGGGCTCACAGCATTTCCTCTCTCTCCCACAGCACCTGCTCTGAGCTAATGTTGGCTTCAGCCATGCAGCAAGTGATGGCAAACTGCAGCAAAACAGCTCTCCTGGACCTGGGGGAGCTGGGCATGCCATACAAGAGGGGTTTTGCCTCACTCTCCCTGCTATTTTAGTTTTTTTTTTTTTTTTTTGTACCAAGGGGAAATATTAAGAGTTTAAAAATACCCGGCACCATCAGCACAGATGGGAACAGGGCAGAGCCAGTAGGAGAGGACAAGGAAATCTTACAACTCTCTGAGATGTTCAGCCCAAGATGACCTCTCCACCTGCACACAGGAAGCTCCCAGTGGTGCAGGATTTGGGATAACTTCTCATCACCTGTGCTGCTGCACCAGGAGTGGCCAGCTGGAAGCAAACAGTGACTGTGACTCTTCCACACACAAAGCTCCTGGTTTTAGTGCTGAAGTAGTGCTCTGTGATTCATCAAATCTCCCACACCAGAGGAAAGCAGAAGGGAGGGTCTGAGCTGTTGAACAGCCCCACTGGACATCCACACAGGCTCCTCTCCTGTCAGGACCTCAACCCATTTCCCTGCATCCAACACAGGCTACAAAGGTTTCCTTTTCAGGGTGGTTTATAAACTGTCAAACTTGGACACAGAACAGCCACCCTGCCCTAAAGGAGATGGAGAACAGAAGCTTCACCAGAATCTGTTGCACTTCCTCTGCCATTAGTGGGAAAAGCTCTTTTAAAAACATTCATTTGCTTATGGAAGATTTATTTAAATTCAATGGCAGAAAGCTGCAAGCTCAGAGCTCTGCACGTGGAATCTGAGCTATTCTATCCTCCAAACTTCTCCCTTCAAATTTTCTGGACAAATTTTCCAAGGAAGTCTCTCAGGGATTTTAAAGGATTTATTCTCTTTATCACTTGAAACGCTAAGTCCTCAGGTAAATTTTACCATCTAAGAAACACCAGCAAATTCTTCAGCTCTTGTCAGTTTTGATGTGGGAATTGGACAAACCAAAGTTCTTGGAGAGAAATTTCCTTCAGGAGGGTGAGGTCCAATGTTCTCTCAGTCAGTTATCAAACTCTCCAGCCATGGGAGTTTATCACAAGTGTGAGAATAACTGAGTGCTCCAGTCTGCTGGCCAGACCAGGAAATACAACTAAGCATAAGAAGTACTGTCTAAATGGAAAGGTTGCCTTGGCAAATCAGGTTGATTTTCAGAATCCAAATATAAAAATGCAGTATTTTTTTAGAGCAGTGTTTCACCTGGTCCAGTACTCCAGCTCTGACAATGGCCATAGGACACTGTTTAGGGAAAGCAGGAGTGGCTGCCCACCATCTGTGGAAACAGACTGTGAAAACAGCATCCCAAATCATGAGCTCAGGGATGCCAGGGGGGCATTCCTGACTATTCCCTCTAATATCTGTTCATGGACTTGCTGTCCTTGAGGTCTCTGTCCAGGAGAGTGTGGAGACAGAAAGGAAAAAGAGCTGGAGAAATTCGTGGAGCAGAAACAGGTGTTAGAGAGAGTCAGGTCCTTCCCCTCACTCAGGCCCTGTCTGTATCTACTCTGCACAGAGTGGAGGAGTCAGAAGACAGAAGCAAAATCCTGCAGGGCTCAGAGACCTGCCCAGTCCAAGGAGCTGGCAGGGCAGGAATTGAGACCCTCACAAAGCTCAGCAGGTTGGGTGGAGCCTCTGTCCCAGTGAAGCCCTGCCAGCATCCTCCTTTTCCCCAGGGCTCTGCTGAAACTCGCCCGGTGGTCCTGGGAGCTGCTGCCAAACATCTGCCTGCAGCACACTGAGATGACCTCATCTGGAACCCTCTGTTTCCTCACTCAGGAGAGCTCCAGGGGTGGAAGAGCAGGGCTGGAGATCAAGAGGCCTCAGCAGAGCTTGGTGATAAGGCAAAACCCTACAGATTTGGACTCTATTATCTCTCTAGATTGTGTTCTCTCATTTCTCGCTGTATCTGACTCTATCTCGAATGACAGAAATCCATCCAAAGCATCCTTTTTTCCCTATTATTTTTGGCAACTGAGTATCACACAGTGCTGTGTGAGAGACTAACCTGGGCTGTTCTGGATGTACAGCATCAGTGGCAGTAAAGTTTCTGACCAGTCCATTTGATGAGCACCCGTCCTGGCCACAGCCGGGGTACTCAGAGCATCTGCACTCATGGCTTGGCCACTCAGCCCCACACACAGAGTGCAAGGATCTTTGGCAAATGCTGATTTTTCAAAGAGAAAGACTTCAGCAGGTCTCAATAATAAAGTCCTGCTGTAATCCCACTTTTCCTACAACTGCTTAGTGTTGACTGAATGCCTTATTGCCCAGGTCTGCCACCTTCACAGGATCAGGGACTTCGGATCAGGGACTTCGGATCACTCAAGGCCAGAGAGAAAAAAAACAACCTGAATGTCTGTTACCATTTGGGATCATGGATGTATGAACAACTGTCAGGTTCCCAAAGGAGCTGCTCTGCCTCACTGAGGGATTTCAGCTTGGGCCTGGAAATCCCATGGCTGTTAGCACCATGTCACAGCTCGAGTAATTAGATCTGAGTCCCAACATCCCGACTGCATCCAGCACAGTGCAGTGCTGACACAGCTTCTGGTTCTGATTTGGGAGCTGGGGTGTTTGCAGCTCCTTGGCTATGGGGTGCAGATGCTCTCAGATCTGTCTCCAAGCCCTCAGCCCTGCGGCAGCCAGCAGGAGCAGAGAATCCCAGGATTTCCCTTGGGAAGAGTGAGAAGCTGGTTAGTGCAGCAGTGATGTGAGTGTGAAACAAGGCTGGACTGGCAGCTTTCCACCCCCATTCCTACCTGGATAGGGCAGATGTAGGTACTTCTTTTAGGGCAAAGGGAAAGATGGCATTTGAAGGGTGCTCAGTGGAACTCACACAGAGCAACTGATGTAGTTCATGTGCTAAAGGAGACCATAGAAAGGAAGATAATTTTAATTCACCCCTCCACTGTCTTGACCCCAGATGAGAACTTCTTTTATGGGCTTCTCTAAGGCCATACCTGCTCAAACATCTTCAGTCAGTGCTAGAGCTCATCATGTTTTGTTTTCAAGCAGAGAGGTTAATTGTGAAAAATGGAAGTTATTAAACCCCACATTTTTTAAAAAGGTAACATGACACAGGGTGGAACAGAGGGAATTTTAAAGCTTTGGCTGGATATGCACAACTTGACTGAAATAAATAAAACCCCAAGGCCATCTTTAAGCCATTTTAGGGGACAGTGCTAGCACAAGTAATAAATGGATATCCTTGGAGTGCAACTTACAGTGTGTTGAGGTTCTTCAGTCTTCTGAAGACTCCAGGTTGTATCTCCTTGATGTGGTTGAAGCGTAAGTCTCTAAAAGCAGAGGATATAAACAAGTCATTAGACCAGGGAAGGGAGTGGAGAAGGAGTGGGGACAATTGTTGGGGTCTGCTCTTGTCTGCAAAGTCAGGCAAAAGCTGGGACAAGCCTATAGTGATAAAATTCTTTAATTCCACAGAAAACCAGACACTAAAAGGACTCAAGGGATCATTCCCATGAGCACCAGAAGAGAGTCTGCAGCAAAACACCCCAAGTTCACATGCAATTACTCTTTCATCTCATCCTGATTTATAGAGAAACACACATCACCATGCGGACCCATGATTTAGCTCCCTACTAAAACTCTCTCTGCCCTACAATGGTTAAATCTGCTCAAATAACCTCATATAATAAGAATTTCCCATTTTGCTCTGCAATGCTCCAAGACTTACAACAGCTTATCTCTGCCTGCATTTCAGATCTGTGCCAACTGCAATTAGAATTACTGGAGTCCAGGGGATTCTGGCAAATTTCAAGGGCTGCCCATGGAACTACATCAGCTTGGAACCAAAAACCATGGGGTTTGGCTTGCTAATGGGATAATGAAATAAGAGCTAAGTGGTTTAACCTGGTTAACCAAGGATAAACACATCTATAGGGAACGTGGTGCATTGATTTGGCACCTTGCATGGCCCAGTGTATTATAACAAATCACAAAAGCTGACAAATGGGGATTGCTGCAAGTTTCTGTCCAAAGCACACACTGAAGTGGATTTTTTTCCTCCTGCACTGCTTGATCTATCACATTTAGGGAATACACAGCTATTTTTTCATGTTAAGGCAGCCTTTTAAGGGCATTTTGTTCAAGAGGAAAAAAGCAGTTTGCAAAATGTAGTCATTCTATGCTAAAAAATTCATAATAAATTTTCTCACTTTTTAGGCAGAAAACGTTTGGCTTAACTTGCATAGCTTCAAATGTGCATTTCTTGCCCTTCTTCTCAGAGGGAGTTTTGTATCTTTCTTCCCTGGCAATGTGAATTTGAGGGGTACCCTTGTGGATTTTTCCAGGCAATGGCTGCCACCACGAAGCCAAACACAATTAAGCCCTGGCAGCAGTGAGAGCACACTGTGCTGCCTCTTCTCCACGGCCTCGTTAAAAGGAAGGACCAGACTAGGAGAAAAGGTGAAGAAATGCAAACTCGATTTACAGCCTGCAATGCACCAACACCAACCCCGCTGCCCTGGGGGGTTGCAAAGGACCCTGTAATTAGTGCAGGCAGCTGCAGGTAATAGGGAGCATTACAAATACATGGGAGGAGCACACAGAGGTCAGGGCTGGAGCTGGCCATGCTCAGGGAGGGCAGCAGTGCAGTGTAAAATCCAGCTTTGGGTCACAGGCTGCAGGTGGGGACAAAAAGCTCTGAGTGTTTTAATGAATGAAGACAACTGCAGTCCTTAAAACCACACAGAAGTAGAGCTCTTTTTAAACTACACCACCCCCAAGGAGCATGTAATAAAGCTTAGCTCATTGTTTTGATGAAATATTTTAATTTTTCTTCTGTTTTCTGTTCCAGGTAAGGCCTTTGGATGATTCTCTGGACCCCAGCTATCTTTCAGTCCTTTGGAAAGTTCTTTTTGGTTTGCTCTCCATCACAAGGGCAACAGCTTTCCCCACAGACAAAAATGGAACTGAAACACTGCATCCCTTCTCTGAGCACTTCATTTCAAGAAATGATGTGAAATAACTGGAGAGAATCCAAAATAAAGCAATGGGAATGATATGGAGTCTAGAAAACATGACAATGAAAAGAACTGAAATTGCTTATTTAACCATAGAAAAAATAACTATGGCAGGAAATTGCTACAAATAGAAAGGGCAAATAGCCACTGACTGAAACTGCAGATTCAGGGTTTTTTTTAAATATCTCAGTTAGCAAGGCTCATAAAACACCCAGTGCACTTCAGGTGAGACAGGCATTAGCCACACATGGTTTAGGAAGGTGGATTCTGCCCTGGAGGATGGACCAGGCTATTCTGCCCCTGTACCCAAGACAGCATTAAAAGATACCAGTGTTGATGTCCCTGCACAGCCAAGAATGTCCCTGGGCATGCAGAGGAACCTGCATATTCTTCCTTACCTTTTAAAAACCCCAATACTTTGGCTCATCCTTAGCGTTTGCACTCCAGACCTTGCCTCAGCCTAAATCATCGCCAGCAGTGAAGGGCTGCACTGGGAATCCCTGGCTTGAATGTGTTTGATGGAGAGCATTCCCCACTGAGTTTGTCTCCTCTCCCACAGAAACACTTGTTCCTCTCTATTCCCAGGGCACTCACTCTGGAAATTCACGTTTCTGTTCAGGAACAAATGTGTTTTTTACAGGGACTGACCACAGAGCCCCTCCCAGGGCAGCTGCTCCCAGCTGCCCCACGCCACAGCAGCTGGGCTCCCTCCCTCCTGCCCACTTCTTCCCACCTGGGAATTCGAAAAATAATCCCTAATTTAACTCTTCCCCCCGTGATTTCAAGGATGGCAGTCTGGGATTACAAATGACCTTCCCACAAGGAACAGCTGCTGCTAAAGGATTCTGGAAGCTCTTCTGCCTTCACACAGAGAGGAGGCCTGGGACAGCAGCATCGCCCAGCACAGATCCCACCAGTTTGACTGGCTCAGCTAAAATCTCACCAAGCCCCCATGCTCTGACAGGAAAGTGACCTGGAATGTGTGGATAATCCTGGATCTGCTGTAGAAATCAGTCACCTTTTCTGAATTTGGGAATTATTGACAGAGATTACAAAGAATGCCAGAATTTGCACATGGATGGGGAAATGGGTCTTTACAGAATTACACAGGCTGAGCCTCTCAGCTGCTATCAGAACAATCATCCCTGCAAGCCTTCTGTTAAATAATTATCAGTGATTAGCACATAAAGCAATCAATGGCTTTTACAAGAAACTTCCACTTCTGTTTAATCTATTTAGGCTTTCACAGACTCATGTATTACTATGTTAACTAAGCAGATAATTAGCTACAAGAGGCGTTTTACTGCAGTTCTGTGCAAATTACTGGGTTTGTGTCATTGAAGAATCCTTTGTGCTCCCAACGCTGTGCACAGCAGTGATGCTGACAGTTCTGCCCAGAACTGGTTGGAAAGTGGCAGCCACACAATCACCACCAACAATGACACAGAGAGTAAAGGTGCTTTTACAGAGATTAGATGGTGAAGTTCCTCCCAGTGTTTCCAGAGGAAGGGAGGGCGTGAAAGACATCCTATAAAAATATCCTATAAGACAAGTTTCCACCGTGCAAGAAGAGCCAGGACACTCATCAGAGAGATGCTCATTCCTCACATTTATCTGCACAACATCAGAGTCAGCTCTGCAGGTTCCCCAGTCCTGCCAAACCACTCCAGTCCTGGCAGGAAGGGAAAACTGCCTTGCTGAGATGGAAATGAAGAGTTCCAGACTCACTGTCATCAGCTCCCCAACTCAGGAATGTCCCTGTCCCACACGAGTCCCCAAATGGCTTTAATAAATGACAGCCTTCATCCCAGAACCCCTTACATGGACAACTGAGCCCTGCCAGCCCTGAGAGGCAGATGAGGAGACCATGGGGAGGCTCAGGGCTGGGGATTCTCCAAGTCCTGGCTATTTTGGGCCTTACCAGCTTAAGACATCAAGATTTGGCTGTTCAAAGAGTGAAGAGGAAGGAAAATATGTTGAGCATGGAGATACAAGGAAATGAAAGGATGGGATCATGGTTGAAACAGTGGAGAGCGAGCAGCTGCAGGGAGCCTCACTCTGCAGAACAGGCTGTGTTTCCCTGCTGCACTGCCACACCACTCATTCTGAAGAATCAGGAACACGAGATTTTAATTAAGAAAATTACCACAGGCATTCCTGAAGCCAGCTTTTTAAGATTCCAGCTCCCACAAACAGGAGTCAGGTTTTCAAAAGGGCTCCCTCTGCATCAGCTGGGGCAGGAACTTGACCATAATCCAGCAGCCAGTGAACCAAGCTGGTTTGATCTCCCTTTTTCTGTCCATGTAAGCTGCTGGGAATGCTATGCCTGAAGGGAAGTGCCAGGGCAGGAGGGATCTGCTGGTGCCTCATTCCTGGTGGGATCATTTCAAATACCACCTGGCATCCCTTTAGCTCTTTCCAGGAAGGGTAGGGCCAAGGAATACCCCCAAAACATGGTTTTGGTCCTGTACACATGCTCAAGTAGGAAGATTACAAAAAAAAGATGCTGAATTCCTCAGTGTTAGATAATTTGAGCCATTATTTATTAGCAGGGATGAAGAGGAGGGTCTGATCCTACCCAAAGCAGCTGAGTCTGTTCTTGGGCATTCATGGCAGCATGACTCCCTTAACCCAATGCATAATTCCTTTGCACCATTTATCCAAGATACATCAAAGCTAGAAAACTTTCCCTCTTCTTGAAGTGTGTTCTGACCCTGATTCAGAGGAAGTAAAATAAACACTTTAGTATTGAGTCTCATGTAGCTTAAGTGTCAGTCTTCCACATTTTACGAGCATGATCATTAAAGTTTTTACCCAGAATACACACACATTCTTTCACCAAAAAAATACTGATTTCTCCTTAAAGAGAACAGGAAAGAGTCCTGGTATCCCTACAGGGAGAGGGATGTGGTGAGGGCAACAAAAATACAAATACTCAAGTGGGAACCAGATGCTGAAGCAGTGGAAGTTCAGCAAAAGCAGAATTTAAAACACTTAAGGTAGCTACAATCACAAGACTTAGAATGCTTCCATCAAAAGATGCTGGAATGTTTCTAGAAAGAAAATATGTTTCAAATACCTTCCCTCCCCATTTTCTTGCCAATGAAGAGACTTCTAAAAATAGAACATAAAGTTCTTGGTCACCTCTAGAAGGTTTAATAAGGATTAAATACTACAGTGAAAGAAGTCAGAAAGAGATTCTACCTGGCACATGCAGAATGTGTGGGTGTGCATTTAATGGCTGTATATAAGATTATCACACACAGAGGAAATGAGTAATCCCTTCTTCAACCCAAAACACACGACAGAGACCACAAACAGAGCAGCATTTCCAAGAACTCATTTGCTCAGTAAACCTTTCCCCAACAAATGTATAAAATTCCTTCTCAAAATGTGCTTATTAATATACTAAGAGAGCTACACCCTGTCCTACTCCAGCCTTCCTCCTGCAGGAAGAAGAGAGGAGCTGAGCAGGCACCAAAAGCAGCACACAAGGAAGGGAAAGAAAACTTGTCCAGCTGGCCATGCTTACACTGCCCAATTAGCAACCAGGTCTGTGAACAACTGGGTCACCTTCAGTTCATGCCAGCCATGTGCTCAGATCCCTGATCCTGCCCTGTGCCCTCAGCTATGTTTCTCCAGCAGTACTCATTCATTATGTGCCCTGCATAATGCAGAAAGAAGAATAACCCATGGATAATTGGATTGCAATCCATTAGCTGCCAGCCAGAGGGGAACTTCTTTCCATGGATTTCTTCTACTCATGTCCACACATTTCAAAGTTTATTGTTTTAAATGTCACACTGCAGAACAAATGGCTGTGAAGGTTAAAGACCTATTGAAATTTTCTGAGTGTATGTTCCACAGCTGTTCCCTTCCTTGGGTTGCTGGCTGGAAGAACTGCCTGAATCCCAGCAGTAACCAGCAGATCACATCTGGATAATCATGTTCCAGTTGAACAGACACCAGCCAAAGTACGTTTGCAGTTCTACACCATGAATTTTTATGGCTTATCTGTACATGTGTAGTCGCCCCTGCCATCCCATTCTCTGCTCAGGATGAAGCGAGCAGTCTCCATTACCAAAGATAAATAGTCTACTGCTAAAACCAGACTTTGGGCCAGGTCCTCAGCTGTACCCAGCTGGGGTTGGGAAGGGAGGAGGGAAATGGCGACCCAAGAGGAGCCAGTAACAGCTCATCAATCCTGGAGCTGGTTCCGTGCCAATCCCAGCATCGCTCGGGGAAGGCGATGGGCGGCTCCGAGTGCCGCCAGCTGGCTGCAGCCCCAGGGGCCATCTGCCAGTGGTGAAGCACAGCCTGTGCCAGCCAGGAGACTTCCCCACTCTTCCAGGATTCTTAGAGAGGGTGGCACGGAGTCACGGAGGTCAGAAAGTCCCAAACTCCCAACTTCAAAGCAAATCCCACCTGGAAACTGCAGCTGTTCTTCGAGGGAACCGAGCTGGAGCCTGGGACCGGTGTTTGGAGCTGCAGTGACAGACTCAGCCCTGTTCACACCAAAGATTAACTGTGGAAAATATCCCAATCCCACATTTTCTGCTCAGAATAACTCCGTGATCAAGCCTATTCTTGCTATAATTCCAAATGTTCAGTCTCACACAAGGGTTCTCCCAGGAGAAACACTAACATACCAAAAGCTGGAGGACTCAGGGCTTGGTTAAGAAGCATTCCTTGATCTTCCACAACTCAAAAAAAGTTTAATTACTCAAATGCTATTTATAACAAATATAAATGGATGCTGGCTGGAAAATGCATTTGCATACATTAGATCTTCAAGATAGCCAGACAGTCAGGATTTTTCCTTGCCACACAAAGGCCCATGATCTGCCAACAGAGAGCACCCACCAGGCTCATCTCTCTTTATGTCTATGATCACCAATATGTGGTTTGCTTATAATTATGCAGAGAGCAATAAAAGAGGATAAAATGGATAAGTCATCTTAAAAAATAGTGGCTCATGAAGAGTTATCTTCCTTTGCAATATTGCAATTTTTATATCTCACACCCATACTATTTCTTTAATGTTTTTAAAGCCAGTTTCCCATTCAAGGTGGTGCAGAGAATGAAGCATGCTGCTGCCAGAGGGAGCACACCATTCCAGAACTGAGAAAGAGTTGGTGACACAGTAAAGTTCCCTCCCTCTGCACTCAAAGGATCTCTAGCAGAAACTCACTGAGGCTCCACTGTGACAGCAAACGTTGCCTCATTGCAAACAGAGAACAGGAATTAAGCTTCAATGATTTCAGAAATACCTCAGTTCAGCCAATGGAACAAACCTTTCCCTCAATAGGGGAATAGGTTTAAACTGGGAGGAACAAGTTACTTTGCTAAAATCAGTGTCAGGGTACTTTAAATATTTAAATATTTCAAGATTCAGGGCAATAACGGGGAGAAAAAGATTGGTAAGAGTGTGAAGAGTCAGATGCTGCAAGTCACTGTAAGAGCACATAAGCACTGCCCAGTGAGCAAGTCCTGATCAGGGTCACACTGTAAATAACCATTCCAGCACCAGCCCAGAAAGTGAGAAAGCTTTGGCAGCTATAGCAAGGGTAGAGTTCATCCTGTGGGCCACCAATGCAAGAACCTCTGTGGTCTCCACCCACCACAGCAGACCTGGATGGCAGCAGTCCAATGCCAGCATCCTGCCCACAGCATGTTCCTCTGGCTGCCAGCAGGGAAAGTGCATTACAATATTAGTGAGATGTTCAAGGGAGAAATGCTGGTATGGATGTGCCAGCTGAGATAAAAGTGAGTTTGTTATAAGCTAAGGGAAAAGCTGCTCAAACTCATGTTGGAAAGGTTTTGCAGCTGGCAGCAGTTTAAGGAGGATGAACATGAAGATTCAGTTTTGACAAGTCTTTCCAACTACTTACAAAAAAAAAAAGGGTCATGCAAGACAAGGGATCAGATAAGAGTAGCACAGAGGGAAGGATTTTGTCACGTGTTCACTGCATCTTAAAGCCACCTTTAAATTTAGGATTAGTTTAGAATCACAGAGAAGTGTTCTTCTGCACCTCTCAATAAGAGCTCTTGAGGGTTCTCCAAGAATTCAGTGTCCTTTTCCTCCACCTTTCCTGTTTGAATGGATTCAGCCACCAACTCCCTCAGCTTCTTATTTCTCAAATAATCTGTGAGTTACCACAGCTGTTACTTTCCAAATAAGCCTCAGTTTTGATTTGAACAGTTCAAGTAGAAAGTGGAAAACCAGTACTTAGAAATTCAGTACTGAAATGGTGTTGTATATATAAGGGAAGTGTTCGTGTCACTGGAGACAAAAGCCTGAGCTGCTCTATTTCCTCTCTCCCCTACACCCATACACAAAGCCTTCTAAAATGCAAACGGTGTTCCTTTCCATAAGCTCAGTTTAACATTTTTGACCTTTGATTCCCCAAAACTGTCTTCTAGTGCTTGCTTGGAATTACTCTCATTCAATTTTTCAATTCCCTTGATTGTCCCATCAGCAATTAACTGATGCCAGTTAACTGATGCAGTTTCTGTTTTGTGTTTTAAAAGCACAAAACCGTTCTTGAGGCTGATAATTCTGCAGGAGGGAAAGAGGATAAAAAGTATACCTTTGACCTTTTTGCCTTTTTTTTTCCTCTTTTTAAAGACCACGCAGGTAAGAAAGGCAGGAAAATGAAGTGGTTACTCACAGAATGTTTGTCTGGGGCGGGATCTCGGGGATGGTTTCCAACATCAGATGCATGCATCTCACTGTAGTCCTGAAGCACAGGCAGCGGCTGGGGCAGGAGCAGGAGAAACCAGGCAGGAGGAGAAAATACAAAAATCCTCCAAGAACTGAAGGTTTGATCAGCATGGTGTTTGCTGAAGCGTATTTGCCTCAATTCTGAGCTGCAGGGAGCTGACAAAAAAAGTTTCCCAGCCCTGAGGTCCAGGAGGAGGGGACTCATCAGCATGTGTTTGCAATTAAATTAAGGCAGTTTGACAGTCCAACCGCCCACCCTCTCTGCCATTCTGCACATCACTGGAGATCACACTGTCCCCACCCCTCTCTGATTGTGGCGCTGAAATACAAACTCTTCCTTCGCATCTATTTTTGCCTTGTTGCTTCTTTTAAACAGCAAATTAACTCCTCACCTTCTCCTCAGGCATCTCTGAAAGCACAGTGCACCTCCATGGACAGCAACCAAAAAATGACCTCGTGGTCCAGGGCTGAGCTGGGATGCAAAAGATCCAGGGCCAAGGTTTTATGTCAATTATTTTTTTGCCCTAGCACAGTCTGCAAACTAAAGAGAATCTTATCTAACAGCCTGTCAAATGTATGGTGCTGTAAGACTTCCAGAATAGAGGCTGTCTCCTATTACATGTAGCTACATCAAGCAAAAATACACCTCTAACCATTGAGTGGGCATGGGCTGTAACAGATAAGGGATTTTAAAAGAGAGATCACTAACAGAGATAAATAACCTGCAAATAAAGACAAAACCCCACCCTGGAATCTGTAAAGTTTCTCAGGCAGAGTAAAAGCTGATTAATTTCAAAGGTTTTTGACCAAGTATAATTTCTTTCAACAAGAATGTCATTTGGGAAAATGTCAGGGTTTTTGAGAAATTCAAGGCAACTGAGGGGTGAAGAGGGGTAAAAAACATGAAATCAGCTGAGTTTGAACTGTAGGGAATGCAGTCCTCCATTTGTTTCTCCCCACTGGAAGATAAAATTGAGATGCAAAAGGCAGGATTTGTTTCCAGTTGAATTAATCACCTTTACAAAGAAGCTACAGTGAAACCAGCTGATCTTTAGTTTCGAGCTATTACTACACAATATCCTAAATATATGGGTTGAGCACAAGGGAGGCATTAACACACCTTAGGATTTATATTGAGGAATTTCCAACGCAGCACCCTCCCACATAACCTGGCAGGTCAAATGAAAGCTTCCCATCAACCTGCACATCTGCTTTGCACTATACACTGCAAAATAATTAATGTGGCAAAGAAGACAAGAGTGACATTTAAACCTTCCTGGTTCAGATTCTCTGTCACTTGAGCATTTGGGGAGAATGTTTTTGACAAGTCTTTCCAACTACTTACAAAAAAAGGGTCATCCAAGACAAGGGATCAGATAAGAGTAGCACAAAGGGAAGGAATTTCATACCATGGAAGGTAAAACATGTATTGGTTTGTCCAGCTATAAAAGAGAATTATCCTGCAGGCTTTCTGCACTCAGCCCTCGGGCTGTTTGTTTGTCCTGCCATCACTTGGAAATCTAAGCAAGTTCACTGAACTCATGGTTTTGGGCAGAGTGTCCTCTAGCGGCCACCCAACCCAACCCAGGCCAACCCTGCTCACAAAAACCGGTTTATATAAAAAGCCAAATTATCATCTTCAGCCTTCATACAACAACTGACAGCTGAAAGCAGACTGCTCTGGTGGATAGCACAGCTTTTGATTCCGGAGGCATTGAGTGCTTTTAGAAGCACATCCTCTACGTGCATCAGGCAACACATGTTACGTGAAAATCCTCCTGACTGAAGCTCTCTGTCCTTCCAGCCTCACTGCTCCCACATGAGCTCCTTCCAAAGCCCACTGGACTCTGCTAGGACAGGGGAGCACAGCTGGTAGGAGCTGTTCTGCACAGCTGGGAAGATAAAAATGCTCTCTCCAAACCCTGTGTCAGTTAGTTTGGAGCCATCCTTTCCCCTGGCACATCTGGCCATTTTGTAAATATGAGGCTTTTGCTTTCCGCCTCTGTGGTGCATAAACTCTGAGTTCTAAACCAACCCTCTGCAACAACAACAACAACAACAACAACAAAAATCCCTTTTTACTTGTATTGCAAAGAGGAGAGCTGGGCCAGGGCTCAGTCCCATTTCTGCAGGATGAGTCCTGTCTGTGGAATTGCATTTCAAGTCTGGCTGTGCTGGGGGGGAAGCAGCTTTGGGATGGATTGAGGGGCATTTGCCCACTGCTTTGTAGGAATGGGATCTTGAGCCAAGGCAGCAGATTTAACAGAGCATGGGGAATCCTTTCAGTGCAAGGCAAGTTCTGCAACCCACACATTTTCTGAGCAGCAGATCTTCACCACTTCTCTCCGCTCATCTCCTCTCGTGGTAAATGGGATGTTGGTGAGGGTTAAGGAACACCAGCAATCCCAGGCCCCTTACTCTCACATTAATGTGTCTTATTTTCCATGAACATGACAAATTTTTTAAAAAGGAGTGTGCATCTCTGGGCAAGAACCAAAACTGGTCTCCTGAACAGTAGGAACGATGTCAAACATTGTCCCATGTTCCAGCATTTCCAGCCTCTGCTACACAGGCTTTTCACACCTGTACAAAGCAAGAAAGTTGGGGTGGGGGCCCCAGGTGGGTTTTTTTCCCCTTCATCCCTTGTATTTTTTGTTTAAGTCTCCCTTCTGTCCCTTTTTCTTCAGCAGAAAGATTTCCTTCAGGGGACCTGCCCCCTCTATACCCCCCAGGGGACTGTGATGCTCTATGTTTTAGAATGAAGTGAACATAAACATCATCTGACAAATTTAATTTCCTCAATACCATTTGTATGACACATCCATGGCTTTGCAAAGCAGAAAAGGATTTTTCTTTCAGCACGCATCACGTGAAGGAAAACATTAACGTTAAACTAATCTCCTGCTATAGCTGGGAAAAGGACATTTATCATACACACAGATGACAGGAAGAAACACACAGACAAACAATTATCCTATGGAATAAAGGTTAACAGATTCATTTAATTAGCAGCAGCTGTATTTGCTATTATGATCAGATTCCTAGCACAGCTGAAACCAAAATATTGTTCTCAATACTGGAGAAATGAAAGCCTTGAACACTCACTCTTAAAAATCCACATTAATTAAACACTCAGAGAGAGCCCAGGGGACAAGAGGGGAGCTGCAGTTCAGAATGCACAGAACAAACTTCTGACACCTTTGGCTTAGGCAACTCCTTGAAGTGCAGAAATGGATGAAATCACCTTTTGGTATCTGCTGTTTATGGGTCAGACAGGCAGGGAACGAAGCCCACTCTTTAACCACCCTGACACATGAAATCTGCATCAGTGCTGTGTGTGCTGATCCCAAAATTCATCCTGCACAGCTACATTACTTCAAGGTTTGGAACTCATCATCTGGGCAGGTTTGAGACATCACATTCTGAGGAGTTCATCTAAAACCATGCACCTGCACCATATTGTTAAGCATTTTTTCTGCTGGTTTTGTGTCTTGACCTCCAATTATGGAAAAAAGCACTCACCTACAAAGTATTCTAACCACAACATAATGCAAAGCCATATTAAGAAGGCTAAAAAGTTTTTACTGAATTTATTGATACAGAAACACTTATTAATAAAGTTTAAATTGCATAACACTTCTGCATGCCTCAGGCCAACTGAACTCTAGTTTCTATACAGAGATTTTTCAGCTTATACACTCATGACTAAAGCAGTTTGAAGTTCAGTTCTCTTTGCAAATTTGCTGCAGGATCAAAACCTAAAAGGAGTCACATACAAAAAAAAGTGACAGCTACTGAGAACACAAAAAGAAACAAAGCAGGTACAATTCCTGGACAGCTCATAGATCCATATAAACCCAATTCTGCCTCCACCCCTCTGCTAGAAATGCCTACAAAACTACAGTGCAAGTGCTTGTGCACAGGGAAAATGTATTTACAATTCCCCTTTATTTACAGGCTATAAGCAATCCTATTTCACAGTTATATAATACATAGAATTTCTACTATCTGTTTAGATCTGTGGGGTTTTTTTGGACAAGAGGACAATTTGACAACCTAGAACATGAATTTCCTATATATATATATATATATATATATTTATTTATTTATTTATTTATTCAACCTTATCCAGGAAAAAATAGCAGTATTTATGCATCTTATAGAAAGCTACAAAAATCTAGCAAATGTAATAAAAAAGGCAAATCTGGTGAAAAAATCTGATAAAATACCTTTTTCAACTGGGGCTGGGATGGGGATAAAAACCAAACAAGGGATAAATGAAAGATAATCCTCCCTCAACTGGTCAGCTTTAACAGAATCTCTGCAAGGCTTACTAACAGGAACCTGAAGTTTAATGACATTTTTAAAGGAACTCCTTTAAAATGTTGTGATTAAACTGAAGGATGACCTGGTGGCCAAAAGCAGGAGGCACCCTGGACTATGGAAGGGTGTGGAAATTGTGCCACAATCCAGAAAGGCACATACCTGGCATGACACCCATTAAACAGACTTTTCCAACAAGTAAGAGGCCACAGCCTGTAGGGAAGCACTGAGAATAATTACATACAGATTCTATTAACCCTCTATTTACCACCACATTCAGGATTTGCATTTGTAGGAAGAAATTCATGGGAGTTGCTAGAATCCAATGATGGGGATGTGCACCTTTACAGGAAACATCAGCTCAGTGGCCACAGAACTGCCCACTGCAAATAAAGAAATCAAAATCCAAGGGAACAAAGATAACTTGGGGTACCATTGAGACCAGAAGTGGAGACAGGAAACCAGAGGCAAAACCCAGCCTGTGACTGTGTTACATGCCATTAACCACATGACACAGGATTATCAGACAATATTCCCAAAGAGACACAAAAACCCTGTTAAGCAAGGAAAAGTTCTCCACTTCAGGCTTAGACATATATGTTATTCATTTATTTTCAAAGCCACACAGAACTTTGAAATTATTTTTCATGAAGCAAGTTGTGCAACTCAGGACCATTTGGCAATACAGTCTTCACTCATTCCTCCTCAGAAAATGAGGAGATAGCACACATTAAAAAACCAAAAGATATCAAAGTGATACCAACCCAAGTGTTTCTGATGGGGAAATG